ACGGCGGCGGGGAGGGGGGGCCGATGGGCGGCCAGGCCTACGAGGATGGCGGCGGGCCGGCTGGACCGGGTGCGTCGAGCGCAGCCTGGCGCGTCCCTTCGCTGTCTCGCTCACTCAATCTCGAACGAGGGCGGATGTGGCGGTGGGCAGGGCGTGTCTGTGTGTCTGTGTGTGTCTGCGTGTCTGTGGGTGGGTGGGTGAGAAGGGGGCGGGAGGTGGTGGGGGGTAGAAGGAGTGGGCTTGACCGGGCTAACGCTCCGACAATGAGGCGAAGGGGCGCCCGGGAGTCTTGTGGTCGCTGACGGAGAGACGGGCCGGAACCAGATGAACCGGTTGGAGCCCCGGGGGAGGAGGGGGGGCGGGGAGGGAGTGGGTGGGTGCGTGTGGCGCTTGGTTGCTTGGGCGATCGTGGGCGAGCGACGGGCGGGGGACGCGTCCTGAGGGGCCGGTCCTGCGGGCCGGCCCGCGAGGGCGTGAGGCGGCGGTGCTGCGCCCGTGCCGGGGGTGCTTCGGGGGCCTCAGGGCGTCGCATGTGGGCTGGCGTCCGGATGCGGGCTTGCCGGCGGCGGTGAGCGCGCTGCCGCGGGCGCCGCTGGGAGGGATGCCGCCCCTGGTGAATGGACGAGCGCCTCCTGGCCGCAGCGGAAGGGTCCAGGAGGGCCGCCGCACCTTTGAGGAGCTGCTGTCAGATCTCTCGGGGGCTTTCGCGGGCCCGTGGGGCGGGTGGGGCCGCTTGCGGGCGGTTGGGGTATTGCCAGACAATGTTCGTCGGGGATCCTGCCAGATTTGTGACGCGGGGGTGCCTGCTTGCCCAGGCCGAACGAATGTTGGGGTGAGGCGAACGCCGTTGGCGGCGTTCCTCGGACTCGCGTAATCGTTGTCTGTGGTCAATTTGATCCACCTTGCTGTTGTTGGGATGGAGGATTGGAGCCGTGTTGCTTGGTGCCGAGTCCGCCGGGCTCCAGATTGAATTTTCGAGGGCTCCAGGACCTTTTCGCGCCGCTCTGTCGCCCTAATTCCCTGATCTGGCTGTTGAGATTGTCTGTGGCACGCTGTGGTGGGTCATTGGCGCGCACCAGAATCTTGCGAGACGAGCCTGCTGCCAGTGCCAGTGTTTTCCTATGCTTGGGGTCCATGTGTTATGTGTTTCGACGACTTATGAACTGCTCTACCACACAGGCTCACAAGAGGGTTCCGTCAGCCATGCTTTCAGCTCCGGATTGGTGCCAGGAGGATTGGAAGCAACCCTTGCAAGGAGGGGAAGCACAGTTAGGCAAGAAGCAAGAGCACCAAGGCCCCAGGTACTGCTTCCACTTTCCCCACCCGTTGCTCGTTGGTGTCAGCGCTGTCAGCCTCGTTGCTGGTGCCGCATGTGGCTCACCTTGTGGCGACCTGTGCTGCACAGGTTGGTCGTGTAGATTTGTGGGGCGAGCCGTCAACGTTCTTTGATGTTGCTGGCGAGCCGTTGGATATGGCAGAAGAAGGTCCAAGCAGGTCAGATAACCTGCAGTGGGCACGAAAGAGCCAGCGCCAGACGAGGACTTCCTGTAGGCTGGCGCCAGAGGCCCCTGACTTTTTGAGGGAGGGAGTGCCAGAGTCGCCCTTTCGGTGGTGTTCGCCTCCACCTCCAGCCCTCCCCTCCTCGCCGCCATCAGAGGTGTTTCAGTTTGCAAGGGACCTTGCATCGCCTCCAAGGATGAGGCCTGTGACAAGGTCAGGAAGAGGAGGCCGAGCCCCTGTCCCTCCAGGAGACAGGAGGTTCAACCCATGGGAGGACATCTTGGACCCAGACGATGAGTTCCTGGACTTGGGAATGATACAAACTGGAAGGCCAGGACCGTCCAGGCATGGCAGAGGTGCAGGAAGGCCTGCATCTGCGGAGGCAAGCAGGACACGTGTTGGCCCAAGGTGCAGACCAATCATGCCGTGTTGTGTTGTTCCCAATGCAGTACTGAAGATGGCTGGGTCTTGCACACTGGCTGGCCTGGATGGCTGTGGACATTAGGTCTTGTATGGTGGGCGATGCGCTGTTGTTCATGGTTTGGGCATATCTGCAGTGGTAACCAACTGTGGCTTGTCATGTCAGGTCGGAATCTTTCCCATGCGGATTCTTTGAGCTGCCGTCCACTGAGGCAGCAGAGGGCGGTGGTTTTCCATCCATGACTCAGCGTACTTCCAGGGGGGTAGACTCCAGACGTGCTGCCCTGCTGGATGCAGCAAGAGAACAGGTATGGAGAGGCTGTTGGCCCTTTTTGGCAGTGTGGTGCACGCTCTCAACCTCAGTCTTATGCTGTGTGCTGTGCTTAACAAGTTGCTGCGTGGCCAAATTGAAGAAGTGTGTTGGCACGTTGCTCAATTGCCACGGAGGATTGTTGTACCGTCAGTGTTGCAGGGGTTGAAATGTGCTCAGCTTGTCTTTGCCGTGACCTTCTTGGGGCAGGCACTCCAGCAGACAAGGGATGCCATTCAGCGCCATCGAACACAGCGCGCCCAGCGGCTCAGAGAGCGACGTGCTTCGCTGAGGGAAGAGTTTGGAGCACTCATGAGCGCCCTTGGAATACTGCATGGCCCCGAGGGAGGGCAAGACCGAGTACGGGAACCGCGTGGGGGGATGGTGTCCATGCACGAAGTGAGCAAACATTCCGCGTCCCATTGGCCACCACTAATGGTAGCCGCAGATTGTATGTCTGCAGGCCCTTCACACACATTACATGAATGCTGTATTGACATTGGTTGTTCTGTCAGCATGATCTTGTGCACATGGAAGTTTGGAGGGACTCGCTATTGAATGCTGTGGAATCACGAGGTGGTGTCTGCTGTTCCCTGGCCTTCAGCAGGGCCATTTTTGACTCCGACTTACTGCCCTAAGCTTGTATTGATGACAAACTATGGTCGCAGGCTGTGATGGGCATCGCAAGGTCTGGTTTGCCTCCACACCTGCTGTTCACCGATCGGGACTTCACACCAGATGACTACGAGTGGCTGTGTCGCCTGGACGAGGGCGTTGAGAATAGGAAGGGGGCCGATGAGGACACGATCAACAAGCTTGCGACTGTTGCGTATGCAGACGTGGAGTTTGAGGATGCACATGAGGATGTACAGGAAGAAGAGGAAGAAGTGGAGCTGGAGGAGGAGGGTGAGGAGGGTGTCAGCGATCCAGGCAGGCGGTGCCCAATATGCTTGGACTGCTTTGGGAGGGGGGACATGTTGCGGGTGATGCCGTGCAAGCACAAGTACCACAAAGACTGCTTGGACAAGTGGCTAAAGATCAAGGCAACGTGCCCAATATGCAACCTGAACATAAAAGGGGAGTAACCAGAGCGCGTCGCCCCCTCCCGCTGGCTGCATATGTAGTTGTGCATGGGGTTGTGGTGGAAGGGTCATTAGGGAGGCAGGATTAGTGGGAAGGCTAGATTGTGGGAGTTAAGTGGTCTGGGATTTGTGGAATGACCCTGTGGTGGAGTTGGGTTGGTTCCCCAAGAATGTGGCGGGTCCTTGGGATTGCACAGAGCAACAATTGTAATTGAAAGATACCATGCTGCTGTACTGATGGCTGCAGTTGAGGGCTCGACACGGCTGTGGCAGAGGTCAGCTTTATCCAGTTTTGGTGTGCACTGCTGGGTTGCCAGGCCATGAAACGATTCTCTTGCCTGCACCGTCGGCTCATGACATTCTGGTGCTACACGACTCACCCCAGGGGACCTTCTCTCTTCAGTGATATGGTGAGTTCCTTGGATCACATTTGCCCGCGCTTGATGGAAAACATTTCTTTCGCCTCACAGGCCACGATGGGAGTGAAACTAGACACCGGCAGGTGTGCATGGGAGTGAAACTAGACACCGGCAGGTGTGCAAATGTTGGTTTGCTCCCATACAATAAAAAAGAGTGCCAAGGAAGGCGTGCAAGGAAGGCTGGAAGGCGTGCGGCTGCTGGTTAAGTTGCTCTTCATACTCATCGACCTCCAATCCCTGCCGCAGTGATGCACGAGCCATGGGCTTGAAGGGATAGGCGCCCGTGGAGAGGCTCGAGAAATGCGACTTGCCACGCACAAAGTCAAGACCGGGCCAACAGCTGGTAGCACGGACGGCTTCAAGCAATGCAATGAATTCCAGTGCAGACGGCCATTTGCGGTGCGGCCAGGCAAAGTTTGTCAAGTATGCCTCTCCTGTTCCTCTCGCCCACCGTCCCGGAATTCCACTGGCGCATTGTTGCTGCACAAAATTCACCACATCCGCAGGGCTGTGGCTGTACCGGCCGCGTGGATGGTGCTTCGTGGGGCCCCGGAGCCGTGCGAGGCAACTCAATGCGTTCACCCGCATTGTACTGCCCAAAGCGCCAGTATGTGCCCAAGGGCGTTCTTCCGAGAGCCCCTCTCCTCGTGCATTCCGCGAGGTCCATCACCACAGCACCCGACTGTTGAGGCATGGTGGGTGCTGTCAGGTTGCCAGAAACTCCGGAGGCATGAGTAAAGCCCCCCCGGAAGGGCACTAAATTTCCGAATTGCGAATAGGTCCTTGATTGAGCGACGACCCCCCCCCCGCCTGCGCCTGGTCGGCCGCACTTGGGCCCCTGCCCCTCCCAGTGGCCCCTGCAGTTCGCGCCGCCGGGCCCCCGCCCCCGGCAACCCCGTCCCAGACGGGAGACAGGCAGGCAGCCATGGGGCTGGCCAAGGTGGACAACATCAAGGCGGACTTCGACATCCCCAAGAACGACCTGACGGGCACGCTGGACTTCACCGTGTCGAAGAAACTGAAGGTAACCAGCTCCCGCGGCGCGAGAAAGATTCGCGCGGTCTCCTTCCCGCTGGTTGATCGGGAGGCGGAACGGATCACAGTTGTGTTCCTCATCCACGATGTTCCTCTGGCTGCGGCGGATCGACAAAGGCCAGAGCGCCCAGGGAGCGAAGACGGCTTGTCCAGGGACGTTTTGAACATGGGGCAGACTCCATACGAATTGCTCCAAAGTGTGTGTGGGTGTGTGTGGGCGGGTGCTCTGCATCTGCCAATCTCACGCCGTGCGTGCGCGCCCGGGAATCACTCGATTGGTGGCTTTCGATCGTGTGGGCCGTCGCGTGGGCTGAGGCAGCATTTGTGTGCGGGTGGGGACGTCCCGAAGTTGAAGGGGAGGGTGGCGCTGAAGGACAAGTTGGTGAAGGCAGAGGTGGCTGGCCGGGGCTGGAGCATGGCGTACGACATTCCGAAGGAGGTGAGGGCCGCTTCAGTCGTGTTGCGCGGTGCTTGCCTGGGCCCGTGCTTCGCCGATTGCGACTCTGTAAAGGAGACTCCCAATTTTCCAGGGCCGCAAGTGCGCTGGCGGTGATGCTCTCTTTCATCAACGAACTGACACGGAATGGCTGTGAGAATGCGTTGATGAGTGTGTCGTTGTTCGGCAGTGATGGCGACAGGTACGCCGTTTGATGGACCTTCGTGCGTGCAGCGTTCGCGTTCTGAACAGTCTGTGAGCAGCCGCATGTCGAACATCGCCTTACATGGGCTGCGCTTTGTCACTTTTCGATGCATGCAATCAACAGATTTGCGCCGATGCTGTGTTTTGCAACGTCATGTGCAAAGAGTTCTGTCGCTGCGACTGACGGCTGTTCTTCCTTCGCTTCTCAGAGCCTAACAGCAGTAACGACGGGCAAAATCCAAGGTGCGGATATCAAGCTGACGCAGGTTGTTCCCAAACTGGACTGGAATGTCGTCCCTTCGCCTGAGCTGGAGGTGGGTGAGGGTCCAGGGAATAGGTAGCAATGCAGCTGGGGTATGGAACTAAGTGGTGCTGCAGCTGGACACAACTTCAGGAGATGTTGCGCCTTGGAGACGAGCGTGCGCTCTGTGGCACGGTCGACGAAGGAGCCAATTGGCAAAGTTCCGATGTCCTCTATCGTGCCACTGAACAACATTTTGAGTGACTGGGCTGTTGCAAAGAGGACCAGACAACTGTCTCACGCTGCACATCTGCTGTGTTCAGTTTCCAATATGGCTGCTTGCCCTCAGTATTTGGTGAGGTCTGTGCATGCTACTGGTGCGCATTTGGGAAGTGGCAAGCCAAACCAAGAATCTGGCTGAGCAGGAATCTTTGTGCATGGCATTTGTGCCCATGCCATTCCCTTTGGGCTTGCATTTCATGCTGGGTGTTTGCGGCTGCAGCTCTCCACCAAACTCATCACACAGGAGGACTGGAATGACCGGCTGAAGCTGAAGTACGACTTTCGATCGCGCAAGGGGTCTCTAACAGAGAAGTTGTACATGCACAAGATCAACAAGGTCATGATTTCGATTGACAACACCTCGAAACTGGACGGGGCCACCTATCTCGCTCGCTCCAAGCTTGGCTACCCATACTGCCACAGCATTGGCATGAGGTACTCCAAGGCTGGTGGGCCTGTGTTAAGGTACAAGGCCCGCCCTGTTCCCAGGCTGAAGGTGAAGACAGAGACTGCTCCAAAGCCGGAAACCTTCTTTGCATCAGTTTTCTACAGGCCAGAGCTCACGCAAAGGTGCGCGAGTGTATGTGTGCTGCCGCTCATGTGTTCGCAGTTCATCAGATTCCAGACAGTTGCAACACTGCTGTGGGAATTTGTTGTGGATGCACTCCAAGTAGCTAAACAACAGCTGCGAAAACAATACGTGTGCTGCTACCCCTGAGACTTGCAATTGTTGGCTGGTGCCTGGCACTGGCGGGGGAGCCATGGGACAGTAGAACCTGGTGTGAAGTCGTCAAGTTGTGTGGTAGGACTGCTATTTTTGCTGTGGTTGTCATTGCACAGAAGCCGTTGCAACCAGGCAGCGCTTGCAGCCTGCTGCATGATAGATCATCACGATTCGACATCGTTTGTTTGAGGAAGTGCATTTTGTCCATTTGCACTGCAGAACTGGCTGTTTATGTGCTGGGAACACTGGCAGCAGTGCACACATTCGTGTTGTGTTTTGTGCTGTCAGTCATGTTGTAGCTGCCTTGACAAATGCAGTGAGCTGATTTTTTTGCCTTTTGTGATGTGGTGGTGCAGTGCGGATGTGGGCTTAACCGTCACGATGCCGTTTGGAGGCGCCAAAACGGAGAACAAGAAAACGAAAGCTGCAGTCGCCCTGAGATGGAAATTCTAAGCGAATGCAGCACTATGTCAGGTTGCCCATGAGAACAGCGAGGGTGTTTTGCAACGTCGCAAGTTGGGCAGCCTGATTATTGGGCGTGTCGGATGCTGACTGGCTTTGTTGGTGTGACTGGGTTACCATCAATCAGACGTTAGTTGGCACAATTGGAGGTGGCGAGATTTTGCAGAGCTTGGGATAGCTTGAGCAGAACGTCGTTTTTGTTGCCTAAAGTTGTTTGCATGCATCTTCAGACGCGTGCATGCTACGCTTGTTATGAGCAAGCTGTTTAGCATGCATTTGGTTGCGGGCCAAGCATACTTGCGAGCTGGAATTGGAGTTGACATGCATGGAATGCCTTACAAGCTTCTGGTTGAGTTCTTGGGCTGCCCATTTCCCAGCTGGGTTGTTGCCTGTGGATGTCACAGCCTTGTCATGTCTACAGTTACAACTCCAGTACTGGTGTGGGCCTTGGTGACTGTGGGCAGTGTGGTAAGCAATAAGGATGTCTGCATCTCAGTGTTAGATCTGATGGAACTCTCTTTGAGTCAGCATTGGAACGTTGCTTTGCACACCTCTAACATTGGGATGGGTCGCTTGGCCAGAATGGCCACAAATGAATACTTCATCTTCACGCGACGGGTATTTATCACAACCCCCTCATTGCAGTCGGCGAATAACGGTCGTTCAGTGTGGACTGTTTGCTCACCAAACTAATGCTGCTCACTATGCTATCGCGCAAGTGCAGCACTGTGTTCAGCGCCCTCTTACAGCCACTTGTTCGAGTTGACCGACTGCTGCCGCAGATGCTGTCACTCCTGTCCATTTCGCGCAGCTGCTCCATGGACTGCCTCAAAGCTGCAGCTCCCTGCCGGATGTGTGACTGCAGCTGCTTTGCATTGCTCTCATGCAACACAGCCTTCATTGCATGGCGACGAGATGCCTGCTCCTGGTGCAGGCACAGCACATGTACACGAACTGGTGCATGGGTGTTCCCCAAATTTTCGTGAGTATAGATTGCTGGTGGTGATTATCCCTAGCTTGCAAGGCCTCCGTCCATGCTTGCCGGGTTGGTTACACAGTTGTGCTGTTTTGGTTAGTTGCTTGAAAGGAAATCTGCCCCTTGGAAAGGCAGCCGACAAATGCAAGTCGGAGAGCTTGCTTTGCCCTGCTGTCGGCCAGTGGCAATGGCTATTCCTGAGTGTAGTGCAGCAGAATTCGGCCAGAGACTGCCACAGTGTAGGTAGGGCACCTCACATGGTTCAGTGGCACGTGGCAAATAGAGGGGGCCCTTCAGTTGGCTCCAAGAGTACCACTGGTTGCCTGGCTGGCATGTTGCAGCCGCACTCACCTGCATCCATGAACGCTGCTTGTGATACTCCGACATGTTGAGGGCCTCCATGCCGTCATCGGCAGCTTTGGCTGCCATGGGGCGATGGCTACCCCGGTACTGTTGTGGGTTGCCTCTGGCCATCCTACGAAACGGGCCCCTGGATGCCCACCCCTTATCCCTTGCGGTGCTGTTGTGCAGTTCGGGCTCAGGATTTGCACTGGATTTGTGGGCAGACATCTCTGATGCGGGCAGTGTGCACGCCAGGCTGCTGCGCTGCCACGAACGCAGGCCGCTGGGCGCCTCGAAAGCCAGACCAGTTGAGGCCTGCTTGTCAGCATCGTATTTGGCAGCGTTTACTGGGGCCACCATGGAGTCCATGGGACTGTAGGGCTCCCTGGCGGGGCAGGCCAAGCGAACGCACACATGTCAGCTGAGAGCCAGCGCTGACGTTGCCTTAACCAGCTCATGTTGAACATCCACCCAATCACGAATCAGATAACAGCAAGGCGATTCGGCCATGTTGTGAGTTGCATGGGTTGCTCCCGTTGGGAACGCGCCGGACACATCTGAAAAGCTGAAATGAAAGCGGAGCACTGAGCCATGTGTTTTTGCTACCGTGGGGTGTGCTCGAATGTACGCTTCCGGTGTTGAAAAGCATCTCAATAAACACAGAGCGCCCTAGGGCATTGAATTCAAGTCTTCGTGCCAGGGATTTCTCCCCGGACACTGTGTTTAGTTACTGGAGTGGAGGAGGGTCAGACAACTCGGCTCACCCCATACAATGAGAGGTACCCACCTTGACGTTTCCGGAATCGTAGGCGATGACCCCCCACGTCTCACAGCGGGTGTGTTTTCTCTGGATCTGCGGATGGGCGACTCCCCCAGCCTGCCACCGGAATCGCTCCCGTGGAGCAGATGACGGGACTTGCGGTCCTCGGATGACGAGGGTTGCCTTGCCTCCTTCTGGGCACCACGGACACTGTTCATATCGCTTTCATCCCTGTGAGAGTGGGGTTTGTGCCTTGCCGCTTCCGCGCGCCTGTTCTCAACGTTTGGCCTGGCAGATTCGCCCATAGGCGTTGAGAAAGAAAACGAGCAACCCGACATGCGAACAAACTCCTGCAGAGGTCTCCGCTCTTTATGACAAACAGAATCGTTTTCGTGGCGATGGGAATGGCACACTGGGGCAAGCGTGTGCGCCGCGCCCCTAGTCCGGCCAGAATTGAAGCAAGATTCAGGCTGCCTATTCTCACGTCCGTCCCTGTCCTCTTCTGCACCCATAGGTGAACCGTCGCCGTGCCCAAAATCCTCGGACGTCACGTTGCCCAGTCCCGAATCCTGCAACACCACGGCCTCGTCGTTTCCCTCGCTGCCGTGGCGAGACGTTTCCTGATGGCCGATGGGGCGCCTCCAAGAGCCAATGCTCCCTGTTGAGCTCCTTCTCCTGTTGTTGCGATCGGCGAACCTCGGGCGCCATGCCGGCTTTCCAACAGACGCCCCTGGGGACGGGCAGTCAAGGCTGGCACCCACATTTGGCCGTGGAGAGGGTTGCGATTCTTGATGGCATGCGTACAAAGGGGTGTTTGTCAGGTCCTGTAGCGGACCTCCGCCAATGTTCTTGTGGCCATGAAAGATAGAAGGGTAGCCAAGTTGCTTCCCTGCGGAGTAACTTAGACTTGAATGGGAGTGATCCAGACAGGTGCTTGGCGATTGGATGTCGAATGCGTTCTCGTCAGTGTCTGCGGCATCCATCGGCTGGTTCTGATGCGCCGAACTCACACGTGTCAATGGTAAGTCGTCAGGGTGTGCACAGTCCTCCCACCGCCATGTATGTGGTGCAGCTTGGGTCCCCTTCACCAAACCACACTCTTCACAGTGGAAACTTCGCCTTGGGGAGGAACAGGGGCCCTCCTTTTGAGAACCTGCCAAGCTGTCACCTTCCCCTGTAGCCTGAGGCTCTGGAGATGCCCGCAGGGGCTCGTCGTCCGATGGGCTGTACTGCACAGTGTCGCCCTGGCTCAATGCATCGTGCTCGGGCCTGAATCCAATATCAGCGCAACCTGGCCCCAGGCTACCATCTGCAGTGGGCCCTGGGGCCCCAGGCGGTTGCTGTAAACCATGGGAGTCTGCCATCTTTGTGGTGGGCGTTTCTGGCTCCGTCCCCGACTGCTGTTGGTCCAAGGGTGTAGAAGTGGTGACTTGGCAAGCCTCTGTCTGGGTGGAGGCATCTTCAGAGGTGCAGGGGCAAGGGGTGGTGTCAGTGCCACCCTCACTGCGCTTTTGCTGAGCGTTTTCAAGGAAAACTTCGTCTGTCTGCATCTCTCTGCTTGCTGAAGCAACAGCCACAGTGGGCAGCAGGTGGTCCGTTTGAGTGGAAACTTCCTCAGACAGTGGTCGTGTTGGGGGGGCCTTTGCATCCTCCAGTTTCTTGACATATTCACGCTCCAATGCATCTTTGGCATTCACAACCTCGAGGCGCTGCCGATTGTATTCAGCGGCCATGGCATTGGCTTCCATGATGGCAGCTTGGGCGTCAGATTCTGCCTCCAGATGGACCTGGTCGCACAAACCTCTTTACTTCAAATCTGTGCAGTCACAGAAGACAAGCTACTCTCTAAGAGTCACTGGCAATTGGCAGAATGCCAGCAAGCACCATGTTGAATGTGCTGCATTCGCTAGCAATTTTCTTATAGTCACCTGTTTTAGCTGCTCACTGATGGAGTTCTTGAGCTCTGCCAGCTCGCTGCTGGTGGCATGTAGCTGGGCTTGCAGGCTTGCCACTTCAGCATCGGATCCATGCGATTTTGTGCCCAACTGGAAGGCAACACAAGCGGCCGTTGTTCATGCCTGTTGGCGAAGCAGACACTGACACAGGTTGTTGCGAAGAGCTTTTGGCAGCGACTTATTCATGAGACAGATTTTGCAAGTATCTTGCCATATCTGCTGAATCGATAGTTGGGAGTCTCCGAACATTCCGGATGTTTCGCGACCATATAAAGATGCCTAGCAGGGTATGTAAGATACGAAGGAAGATCGCAGGGGTAGCAAGCCAGCTCCTCCATACACAGAGACACACTCTCATATGTAGAAACAAACCAACTGAAATGGTTGGATTAAAGAAATTTGATGGAGCCACACACATCTTTTTGATACGTGGATCTTGCTCCTGCTGATCGCGATTGGTAGGTTATTGGACAACATAGCTTGGAGCACTGGGAAGCTCCACAAACTGCTTGAAGCAGTTTTGTTGCGGTATAGGGCATGAAGTTGGCAGAGAACCTGTCATAGAATTTACCCAGGCAGAGCAATGAAATTCTTAGCGTGCTAAAGGCAAAGTGTAAATATGTTGATTCTGGCAGTATCCTGCTTTATTGATTCCTTTTTTTAGGGCTGTGGCCTCATATCACAGAGGTTGTAGAGGGCAACTTGTTAATGATGGGAGAAATCGCCCCAGCGCCCACACATTTTGTGTTGCAAAAGAATCTGGCAGCACACACGAACCTGCAGCTGCCGCAGCTGGGCTTCAAGCTCCTCCTTTCTGCTGACGACCTGATTCAACTCCTCCCTCAATTGCATGTTTTCCTCTTCCCTCCGTGCCGCCACACTCGCCCAGGCAGCAGAACACCTTTGCACTGCTTCCTGTTTGTGCTTCTCAGCCTCCAGTTGTGCATCGCGCAAGCTCCGCCTCAGCCGGTCTGCCACCTGCCTTTCCTGCTCATGAATGCTGTGTCCTAGCAGCACATAGCCATCTGTCATCTGCACAGTCAACAACGCTAATGTGCTCCAGACAAAATTATGCCAGCAAGATAAATGGACCGTTGCCAATTCCTTGCCCAATCCTGAGCCTGTGCACTGGTCACCTTTGGCTAGCTCCTCTTGCAGCTTTGAACTGTGCTCCATCAACCGCTCAATCTCCTCACAGCTTCGCTTGGCCAAGGATCCATTGGGAGAACCTGATTACTCACAAAGTTAGAGGTCAGACACGAGCATATCGAACGCGCATCAAAAATATCCTTTGTGAGCAGGAGATACTTCAATGTGCGACCTGCTTTGCGGCATTTAGAAGAGATGGCAAAAGGCATGACAGACCCCACGAGCCTGTCAGCAGCAACGCGTCCGTAGATAAGCTCAGCGGTTGCCAAGGGCTCTCACCCATGCCTGCAGGATGGGATCCCCAGTGTTCCTCTGTTTGCACTCCGACTTCTGATGCTTCTATGCAAGTGTCGTCGTGCGTCTCTTCATCGCCGCTGTCCCCAAGGCCCAGGGCAGCCTCCCATTCTGCCTGCTCATGACTCCTCTCCAGTCGGTACAGGCGCGACCGGTTGTCACACGAGATCTTGAGCTGAAACAGTTGTTCCAGATTGTTGGCTCGCTCCCTTTCAGCCTCCAGCTCTGCCCTGAGTGCTTCTTGCCCCTGTGTTACAACCTGACCCTGTTCGCTCTTGTGCGATTCCAGCCATCGTATCTTCTCCCTTGCTGAATCGAGGTCTTCTTGAAGCCTCCGATTAGCCTCTGCTTCCTGCAACCGGACTGCTTTCAACTCTGAGCTGTACCTCTGGGCTATGCGGTGGGCATCATTTGCTTCAAGCTCAGCTATCTTTGAATCCTGAATTTCGGCATGCAGCTGATCAGTGGCGCGCTCATGATCCAGCCTCTCGATCTTAGTTTGTGCTGACTCCAAGTCCGACTTAGCCTGCGCCAGTGCAGCTGTCAAACTCTGGACTTGACTCTCAGATTGCAACAGTTGCTGTCCCCTCAACCTCAGCTCATCATCAACTTGAGATGTCTCTTCAGCTGTCTTGCGGCTCTCATCCCTGGACATCCCTTCCAGCAATCGCAGCTTTTCGCACTGTGCACAGACTTCACTCTCCAGCTCAGCAACCTGCCGCCCACGTGCGATGCACAGCAACCTGCTCTGGGCAGCCTCCTGTGCCACCCTGTGTGCCTCCTTTGTGGAAGCCTCTTTGTGCGCTGTGAGCTGTGCCTGACGATCTTCAAGTTCCTGGGCCTGTTGTTCAATTCGTGCCATGAGGGCGAGGCGGGAATGCACCTCTCCATCCAGCCTGTCCTGGAGTTCCTTGACAACGTGGCCTTGTGCATGGTGCAACCGTCCTTGGAGATTCCCACCAAGCAGGGCGACGTTGTGCTGCAGCTCGTTCATTTTGTGGTGGAGGTGCTCCACAGTCTGCTGTAACTGGGTTTTGGCTTCTTGCAGCGAGGCAACCTGAGAAGAGGAACTTCTTTATTGCGAATGCTGAATCAGTTGGGACAAACAATGGAGACATGGGCCAGATGACGGGTTCTCAGCCATCAAACCTCGCCCAGACCTGAAGAGTTCAGCTAGAGGCAGCAAAGAAGCGCAGAATTGGAGATGAGCAGCCAATGTTTAGTATTCTCTGCATTTCTCTTCAAGTACAGTTTCTTGGACTCCATGCCATGCTTCCAACCTCAGTGCTCTGTTGATTCTCCAATGCTCAACCGTGACTTGGTCGCGCTGTGCCGGTGCGTTGCCCTAATGCACCGAGTACCCGCAAAATGGACTGCGTCGGCCGCCCACCTGCTGCCTGGTGGACTCTCCCTCCCCATGTGCGACCTCCAACGCCAGCCTCAGGTCACACAGGCGAAGCTGCAGCGCCTGCACGTCCGCGCTCGCTGCCATCGGCAGGAGCAACTGCGGCTTGCCGCCCAGCCGCGCGGGATCGCGATCGCCGCCGGCGCCGGCCGATTGGGCCGCACACTCCGGCGGCCATGCCGATGGAAAGGGCTTCCTGCGGTGGGGGGACGGCGTGCGGGGGCTGGGCTGCAGGTAGTGGGCGTTCGGGTTGGCGGGCGTGCAGGGCGATGGGAATGCTGAGGAAGCGAGGTTGGGCCGGAACTGCCAGTCGGAGGGCTCCGGCGCGGCGGGCCCTGCGCCATGTGGGGGGATCAGGCAGGAAAGGGCGCGGGGGGCAAGATTTGTTACAAAGAAACGGGTCATGCCAGCGGCGCCCACTCCCAAGCCAGTGCATGCGATACTCTTTCCCAGGTCGAAGCGGGTAAGATTTGCTGCAAAGAGAGAGAGACGCGGGTCATACGAAGGACCTGCTCCTAAGCAAGTGTATGCGAGACTCTTTTCCGTCTGAAGATTATACGGAGTCTCCGAAGCGAAATGATGAGAACGCAGCGCAAGCAACACAAAAGGCAAGCAAGGCGCCGTGGGGATTGCCACAACCAAGGCGTCGCGCTAGGCTCGGGCGCCAATGTGCGGTGCTTAGCGCAAATCGGTGGCTATGGGCGTGGGAACCGCATCGCTGGTGAGCGGGCCTTGTGAAGGAGACTGGGCGCGCGGCCTGTGTCCGGTCTGCGCCTTCGCCGCGTCCGCGCAGGAAGCGCTCGCTGCATGATCGCCGGGATTGCCACCTGGGGGCGTGTGGGAGGCAAGCAGGAGCTCGCGCTCCTTGTCGTCCACGACCCATTCCACGTCGCTGTCGTTCGCAGAGGGCGCCAGCAGCAGCATCGCGTGCCACGCGACGGCGCGGCGGGAGCGGAGAGGCAACAACGCCTCCCAGGCTGGGTCCTGTGGGCCTCCAGTAACCAGTTTCTGGCATGGGGCCTCGTTTTTTTCCTTGTTTACTTTCTGCTTGTGATGCCCTATTTCTTATTGACCCTCCTGTGGAGATTACGTGATGCGTGCTGGAGGTGCCCCAGGGATGCCGAGTGGCATGGCCTGTGGCACGGCCTGTGGCATTGCCCTGCGGTATCTCGCCCGCAGAGCCGCACAAGTTCGGGCAGTCTGAGAAGAACTCCACCTGGCCATACGGGAAAAACGCGGGGCGAGATACACAAGACAGGCGCGCGGACGACTCCGTGGTTGGCTGGTTCCGCACTGTTTGCCGGTCGGTTGCAGGTGAGGATCGAAGCGCAAGGTTCGCGGTGTGCGGTTGGACAAGAAGTGCATTTGGTGTCGGGTGGGGAAGACATGTGGGGGAGATGTGTACGGTTGCTGGTTCCTGGAGATGGGGAGAGCGGCAGTTGTCGCCCAGTAAGTGACGTGTGCACTTGTGCAGCTGAAGAGACAGAGATTGTACGGCCCACAAGGCTGTCAGACAGTGGTCTAAGTGCCTGCAGGACAGTTTTTCTCCTCCAAAGTCTGTTTGTTGAATTTTCTTGAGAATGTAAGCAATGGCTCACTATACTTTTGGGGGATGCAATGGCCGCAAAGATGTGGATCAAACAAATGACACTCTGATTTGCGGGCACACGAGCACTGTCATTTGCAATCAAGCAAAGCATCTCTTTGGTTATCCTGAAAATGCGACCGCGAGGCACCAAAGGGACGTCGTTTCAACAAGTGGATCTGCACATTTGGTCCAAATTTCTGTGGAATCGCAATGAGGCCCCAAACAAATAGATTTGTGCACACAATGGGCACCCCTCCTCAAAGGAGTGTTTGAGACTGCATGACCTAGTGGAGGTGCTCCATAAACAACACATAGCAAGCAGTTGATGACATTTAGCAGGACAGCATGTCTTTGGCAGTGCCGCATATGTTCTGTTGTGGCTGGGGTTCATCCCTAGCCAGCACTGGGTGGGACGATTTGGTGGAAATCTGCTGACACTCACAGTTCACCGATTTCATCCAACACCTTCGTGGGCAAGCTTTTGTGAGCAGACTCTGTTGCCATCGTGAAGCATACCCAGGTTCCCTCACTGCCCACAATGCAACTGTTGTGTAGGCTGCGAGTTTCTTGAAGTTTGAATAGAATAGGGTCAAACAGCCCTGTCGCTGAATGTGCGTCACTGAGATTGTGCTGATTGTGGCTCCAACATGAAAGATTCTTGTGGGCTATTCGTAGGGCAGTGACAAGGAAGCAATTGATCCATCAGCACTCCTGCATTGTAAGGAAACTGCTAGTTTCATCATAATTGGAGTGCATGTGCTAGAACCAGAGTTGCGTGAGCATTTGACCACTCCCAGCACGGCAACATCTTTGGCATTCTCTTTTTGCACTGTGGTGTTCAGTGGCATAAGCCTGACACCGAATGCATGCTCCCATCAGGCACCTGCCAATGGGACGAAACAAGAGAGGTACAAGGAGAGAACGCGATGCTGCCAATCCCTTATCTGTACTTGAAGGTACTTCCACACGGATGTTACACCAAAGCCAGATCATCTTTATCTTCTCCAGGCGTTAATGGAACTGTGTTTACCTGGTTGATATATTCCAAATTCAGGACATTTCTCTTGTGCAAGTGCTCTTCTTTGCAGCTCATGCAGTTGGCGAACACATGCAGACATAGACGACAGAGAACATCACTCTCAGTGGCAGTCATCATACTCACTGCTGGCGTCATTTGTGCCATCACAACTGGCAGCACTGAGCAGGACGTGGCACGTTCTTCCCAACAGCCACATTTTGGCACAGGAGAAATATGCCATATTGCAACAGGCACCAGGTCGTTTCTGTCATTCATTGCCACCATCTACACCTCTTAGAAAACCTATGTACGTGATAGATGCCAATTCTCCTTGTATATGTACTGTGTCCCTGCAGGTGGCAGCAGTGCTGTGTAAGAGACAGGTGTTCTTGCACAAGCTTAATGTGCAACCTCTAACCTGCTAGCCCTTGTGATAGGGCCTTTTTAATTCGCAGCGTTTCTTTTTTCACAGTGTTCCATTGTGCAAACATCGCACAAACCACATTCAGTGTGCTGTGCACACATGCCTTGCCAAGTTCCACAAAGTTTTGCCCCTTTTTGCTGCGGTTGCTGGTGGCGAAGGACTGTGCAGGCTGTAAGAGGAGCAATTGTTGGCAGGAACACATGGTTCAGCTCATGGAATTTCGGAAAAGGGAGTGTCATCAGCACTCAACCTTCCAGTGTGAGATTTGAACTGCCAGTCAAAGCAGTGCTCTACATTTGCGATGCTTGGAGGTTCTAGAGCATGCTTATAATGAACACCGAGCCACACACCACAAATGTGTGAACTCGGGACTGTCACCTGGTGTTGTGAGGAAGCTGTTTGCTTGTCTTTGACCTCGTGGATTGCTGTTTCTGTCAAGAGGGCCAAAATCTGCAGCAGCAAGGAGAACGCCGGAAGGGCATTGAGGCTGCACGTGCTTATGAAAAGGCAGTGGTAAGACCAAGAGGTCCGCCTCAGCAGAGCTGCGGCTGTGATGCTGGCAGTACATGAGTTGTAGTGCTTTCTGTCTTGCATCAACTGAGAACGGAAGCATGTCATGCAACAGATGTTTACCAAATGTAAGCTTGGGGCCCTGTAAGTACAGCATGCCAGAGGATGCCTGGCATTGCTGGCACGTATGACTCTCAGCATCCCTTGGCTGGCCCATTGGCTCTCATTCTCAATGTCTTGCTTGTGGAGATACAACCACCAACCAAGACTTCCCTAGAAGTCAACTTGGGCTTGGGATCCCCTCCAGACATTAGGTGGTACAGTGCATATGCATGGCGAATGCAGGTCATGATGTATGGGCACCAAAGGCCCCCATGGTCTGCTTGTGGCAATGTAATTGTGCATTGTGACATTTTACTTTTCTGCACCGCAGGCAAAGTACAATGAGGCAATACTAGCAGGCAGTGGGACTGGCCATGTGTCCAACGCATTTTTTGGCCTGGTAAGCGCCTCATGCAAAAGGGGCTTGTTGCATCGCGGCATATATGCCCTGCATGTTTTGCTTTGACAGACACACTGTCAACCTATCTCACTCGAAATCAGACACCGTCGATGGAATTGTAACAGGCCCAGAGTGGGCTGTATGGTTGATGTGGGGTTTGGCTTTCCTACTTTAGGGCTGTGTGGCCCACAGTGGAGCATAACATGCCACCTGTGCCAAGGCATGCTGGTGATTCCAGCTCTTCCAGCCATGCCCTTTTGAAGGTGCATTATGATTGTGTCCCACTTTCAGCCGTAGTTGCTCACTGATCATCTGGTGCTGCGCGAATCTTCTAAAGCTTTTCACCTCATGTTGGCAGTGTAAAGAGTTGTTGCCTTTTCCATGGTCCATGTCAACTTATTTGTTGTGAATGCCTGTGACCATGCCCCTGACTGGATTGCAGCAGTGTTGCAATATTTCCACAGTCAGATTTGTAGCATGTAGGGGTAATGCACGCGGGTATTTGGTGTGGACAAAATATTCACAAATTATCCAAAAGACATGGTATGCACGCTCCTGCCAGTACCCATAAGCAGCACACTGGACTCCTGTGCTAGCTCACATGGAAGTGTTCATTGGCAACTGACGAGGAGCACTTTTCATGTTTCCATCTTGTTTTCTGTGCAGTCCATGTTGCTGGTATCTTAGCTGCAAACAGTGAATTGTTGCAGCTTTTGGGCGCTCAAAGCGATTCCTGGGTAGCTGGACATTTTGATTCCCAAATGGAGCGAAGCCAGACACATGGCAGGCTATTAGAAAATTGTCAGGCTGAGGCTGCCTGGATCGCATTGGAGCTGTCATTTGCCAGATTGACAACCGCAATGGGCTGCCATCATCTGTGGTCGGAACTGTGCTCTTCTATGCCTGCGGCTGACCTTACCATGATTAAGAAGGACCTCTGCTTGGTGTGTTATCACCTTGGGATGAGTTCGGCAACATGCAGCCAGAAATGGTGCAATGGGGATTGTGGCATCCCAAGGCGATGGGATGGTGGCGTTCGAACTGGGGCACAATGGCCCAGAGCATGGTTTGCATAGCACAGGTCATTTGACTGAAGGAGTGCTTGCATGCGATGAGCTAGAGTTGCTCTTGTTGCAGGGTGTGTGCCACCATGGATGGGGAAATGCTTTAATCGACCATGTTACCAGTACACCAAATGAGGAGCTGACACTCGAAGCACAAGAGACCGCATACGCAAGTGCAAGGGAGCACTTCCATGCAGCAGCTGAAGCATATCGACAAGTGGGGCACCACTGCTTGGACTTATACTGCACACTTTCAACTGTTCCTGACTTGGCTGAGTTGAAGCAGATGGAAAATATGGCTGTGAGTCTTGTATCTGCTGTCATTGCAGATCAGCAGAATAGAGTTTAGAGAGTATTGGAATGGACAATGTTGGCTGTGGCACTGCCATAGGAGCATTTGGGGCGATGTTTTAGATCAGCATCAAGTCTGTTGTGATGCATGGTTATTGGCTTTGCAAGAGAACCTCACAGACTTTCACAAGTAGGCTTGCACCAATTTCTGTGGGATCCTGGGCTCAGGTGAAAGACCTTGATGATGAGGGAGAAGCCAGCGAGGCTGCAGTTAACTGCGGGAACACCTTGTCAAGCTGGGCGTCAACCTGCCGTGGCCAGGAGGCCATAGACCTGCTGAAGGAAGCTATTGCTTTGTATAGGGTTGCCAATGGCAAAGAAGAAGGTGACGCAATGGTAATGTGACCATAAACGACCCAAAAATTGTGCCATTGCCAGTTTTTTGTTGCTTATGTGCTTTTGTCTTCAAGCATACTCTTGTCACTGGTACACTACGATGTACTAAGTGGATGGAAGAATTTGGTTATGATTGTGCAGCACCACTATCTGAATGATTGTGAAACGCTTTTCTTGGTTGAGTTGATCAAGAACTTTAGTAGCCCTATGGACTCTGTTGCAAAAGGGCTTAGCGACATTTCGATGCAAACACAGAGATCTGCAGCATTGCGCCAGTCAGCTGTGCTGGAACTGACTTCATGAACTTCTGCCACAGGTGTGGAATAACTTAGCAGATGTTCAGATTGAGCTGGGTGTAGCGGAACATCGGATGGGCATGCACGATGCCAGTGTGGTATCACTTCAGGACGGCTTGTTGAGTTATAGCCAAGCTTGCATGTTCTCAGACTCATCACGGGGTGACGATCTCCCTGGGCTGCTGCATGACTGGGGAGTGGCGCTGCAGACAGTCGCAGAGCACACAGAGGTACGAGTGGAGGATTGCCTGGCTGACTCAGTGTTATAAGAATTTATCTTGTACAGAAGTACAGCAAATGCACGTTGAATCTCTTGCTTGTGGATGCTCCGTGATGTGTACACCAATGCTTGCACGTCGAACTGTGGACGTGCTCCAGCTGCTGCGTGCTGCCTGCATAGTGAATTTATTGTTCCCAAAGGTTATTCTTGTGGTCTTGCATCCAACACAGCTGTTTTTCAAAGCTTGGGCTGACATTCAACACAGCGCCCCTGTGGCAGGGACGAGAAGCCAGGCTCAGACTCTTGGATGAGTCCTTGTCGCAGCTGAAGAGCTCCATCATGTTTGGGAGGTGCGATCCAGCACCCATGAATGCAGTGGGAGATGCTCTTGCAGCCAAAGCAGAATTGCTTGAGGGGATCGAGGCGTCAGGCATGTGGCACAGGGCCATTGAAGAGGGCTACAAGGCAGCGAAGGCAATTAATAGCCAGAATGTAGATGCTTTGGTGAGTTGCGCCTGTCGTCAGGGCACACTCATGGCTTGATAGATCTGAATGAAACAAGTACAATGTGTTGGTGGCTGCTTGTTGAGTACACTTTGAATGGTGGATTTCTGCTTGTAGTGCTTATTGCATGGGCTGCTGGCTTTGGCGCTGCTGCCGTGTTTTGCAGCCCCCGTGCAGGGTGAATGATGTTGCTGCAATAGCGATAGATCTTATACCCAGGCAGTGTGCAGAAGCATTGTTGGCAACCATCTTTTGAGGGTTGACTTGTTAGCAAGTTGCCATTGGTGCGCATTTTGATTCCTGCAAGAGATAGGTGAGGGATGCCTTTTGGTAGCTTGGCTATTTTTCATATTCCATAGAGCGTCAATTGTTACTTGCCCTGGGCTCCTTGGTTCCTTGTAACTAACGTTGCATGAACCCAGGTGGGACTTGGAGAAGCGCACATGGCCCTGGGCAAAGGGGCAGCCGCAGTGGGGGATGCCGAGGTGGCCGCAGAGCACTTCTGCTCCAGTGTGGAGGCATATAGTACGTGATGTTCTTGTGTTGGCATCTTCCAATCATGTTAAACTTCTGCTGGGCATCGCATACTTCACCATGTGTGCGAAAAACACTTACTGGTGGGAAGGTCTATGCTAGCAGATCTCATGCACACCATTCCATCGTCAGCGACCCGGACGCTGGGGTTGGTGAACATGTTTGCAATGTCCCAGTACGTGTGTGTATGGTCAAGCTTGCTGTTTTTTTCTTGCTGTGCAGGATGACTGGCCGTCATGCAATCCCTATTTAGACAGCAAAAGCAACACCTACATTGTCTGTTTGCCATAATGCAAAATGACAGAATTGAACTGCCTCAACTTGCCTTTCTGCTTGAGTGAATGCAAGGATTCCATGATGTTCAGGAACATTTGCATCCGCCGTTCCTCCCCAAAGCATGTAAGAATATCATGGCAAATCATTTGTCATCCTTTCTATATCGATTTCCACTTACCAATATGCTCCGTATTGCGTCCCCAAAAGCTGTACATCTTGGTGGCTGCCAGCACATGTCACGGAGTGAATTACCTGGTCGCTCTGTTTGGGACACAGCTACGAAAGTGGACGCTTGTCGTTGGCTGGCCTGCCTTATATCCACATATCAAAGACACACAATGGTAAGCCAAGCATGTAGAAGCGTACAGGTATTGGTATTGTTGTTCGTTGTCCTGTCGTGATCTGGAAGCTCAGGCCGGCCTCTTTGTATGGATAGGGCATGCTGTCAAGCTACCTTCACCCTTGGGCGATTTCCATGAGCGCTGCAATGTCTTCTACAACTATGCTTGCGCTTGCACTCTTGCTGGAGAAGTCACAGAGGCCAGGGAAGCAATTGAGGGACTTTTGAGGAGGGGAGGGACTGGAATTGAGGAGATAAAAGTGGACACAGACCTCGACAACCTCAAGGAGGAGCAGTGGTTCGTGGATCTTGTCAATGGAGAACACTGACGGCTTTAGCGTCCAATGGCCGTCACAGTGGAATTGTACTGATCAGTTGCACAAAACAATGGTTAAAAGTAGTGCTGAATTGCCCTAGCCGGGCATTGCGCCCCCCACGGTTTTCAAATCTGCAATCATCGGGTCTGGGCCTGTACAAACCAGTTTCTTGCTCGATTGCGCCATAAAGGGCCATGCACGTACCTGTGATCTTGAGACCTGCACCTCCTGGGAATGGCAGCAAGATATTCACAGGCAAGGAGCCAGTCCTGGGCATGGGTCCTGCGGCGTGGCGCCAACGGAAATTTGTGCAACCCGTCGCCCAAGATTAGCACGGTTGTCAGACACGGCGCGCCCTCCAGCGGACGGCCCGTTCCATACTAGAGCAGAAGAGCCCTGCAGGGAACTCCCGTTCCAGGCCTTCTCCACGGCGCGCTCGCAACCAGGCAGAGTGACCTCGACCTTGCCCCCCAAGCGCCGTCGTCGGCCGAACATGTCCGAAGCAGGGTCCGGGGGTCGCCTCCACAGCGCGGCGACCCCCTCCGCCGGGTCTGGCCCCAGCGGTGCCGACGACGACAACGGAGGCGGGCCTCAGGATCCGGCCGTCGGGGCCAGTTTCGTGTTCAACAGCCTCGACGCGTGCCCCCAGTCCGGGGCCCTGGTCGTGCGGGCGCCGCCCGCCTGCGGCCCATTCTCTCCGGGCGTGTTCGCCCCGTCGCCGGGGAGAGGCGCGAGGAGATGCGATCACCTGCGCGGCATCCGCGCGGCGAACAGGAGAATGGAGCGCAGGTGCTCGCGCCCCGCCGGGGAGGCCCACTGCGGCGGGCGGGGGCTCGAGGCGGAGATTGGCAAATGCAAGGCGAAGCGGGAGGCCCTGCGGGCCAGGGAGCAGGCATTCCGACGGGCGTTGAGGGAGATCGGTGACCGCCAGGATGCGCTGCAGCTGGAGAATGCCGCATTGGTTAGCGGGATCGCGTCGACGACCGCAATGCTGGGGCGCAAGCGCCAGGCACTGGCGGAGGAGGAGCGCAATCTGCAGTCCCTGATGGCCAGGATCGAGGCGGCGACCGAGGGTGTGGCAGGGATGCGGGGTCAGGGGGGGGAGCAGGGCGTGCAGCCGCCCGGCGTCTTCGGCAAGCACATGGCGGAGGAGATTCGCATCGCGGAGAGGGCTGCTGTGGCCCTGGCTGCTGAGAGGAGGGAGCAGGAGCGGAAGATCTCAGAGCTGCGGGAGGAGTGCCAACAAAACGCCTCGCGGCAAGGTGCGCTGGGGGCCTCTGTCCGAGAGCTGAGCGCCAAACATCGCGAAAGAGCAGAAGCCAATCGGGACCTTCGGGCCCTGCTGGCAAGCATCCGGTCGGAGGTGAACCAGCGAGCAAAGCAGAACGAGGCCATTGACTGGGAATTCAGCCGCAGGCAGGCGGTCATTTGGGGCGCCAATGCCGTCAGCGATGGTCTGCATGGCACGCAAGGAGGCAACGACGCTGAGTGCAGGGACCTCCGCGCCGCCGTGGCGTCCACAATTGCAGTCATTCAGCAATCAGCCGCGCAGGAAGATGCGCAGTGAAAGTGGATTGGGGGCAAGACTCTGGTAGACAGCGCACAGCAGTCAGGCATTGGCAGCCCAAGATATTTCACAGAAAACAGGCTTCAGCAGCCACGGGGATGCAAGTCACCAGCCACCGTTTCGCTCAATGGATTTGTTCCACCAGTTCACTGTGCAGACCGGGTTTCCTTGTCTATGGCATCATGCGGTGGTGCAACCTGCAGGGTCAGAAGCACTGATGCTGAATTTCCTCCGTCAGGGCGACATGCTTGCCAGGGGTTCTTCCCAGAATCCCTAGTAATGCACCTGAAGACCCCCCCGGTGCGGAGTCTGGGAGCACAGGTGACAGAAAGTGGACAGCACCAGCCTCCAATCGGCATACGCTTGAGACCCACTCCCCAGCAAGCCAACTTTTTGTTTGTTGCCTGCCACAGGGACCCTGAACTGAAATGAACTGAGGTTCGCCACTAACAACATGAAGGTGTTACATCACATTAAATATGCGAACATCACTTTCGTCGTCATTGTCCATCCTGCGTCTTCTGCAAATATTGGCGTACGCTGGGGTCGAGTTTCGCTGCTTCTGATAACGCCCTTGTTGCTTCCTCTTTCCTTCCTGTCTTGCTGAATATGCTTGCAAGTGCCATCCACACCCTAACATCACGTGAAGACAGTTTTGAAGCCCGCAAAAGGGCTGCCTCTCCCTTTTCCAGCTCCCCCTGCATGACCCCACAAAGGCGCAAAGTGAGCAGCTGCAGCAAAGATTGACAAACCCATCGGATCAGTGGTAGATGAAACACAGCATGGCCATGTGCTGGCATGAAACCCCCATTCCCACATTCGGAAGTCCATCACAGCAACAACTTGAATTATCACTACCACAGATAGAAAGCCTGCAGCTGTCTCAAAACACCCTCTTCTGAAGACAACAAGTACATGCCTACAAAAACACAACGATGTATGTTTTAGTGTGGCTAAACCGTTGCTGGGAAGTGCAGTCCTTGGAGGAAGGAGGAAACAAGCACAAGAGCAAAGTTCGAATCATTTCCCACGTTCGGCTGTGTCTGCTGAGTGACAGGTGGTATAAGCACAACAGCAAAGTCCGAAATATTTCTTGCATTCGGCTGTGTCTGCTGAGTGACAAGTGATATTTGAAGACCAAGGTCTCACAGCAACTTACCAGCATGTATAGTGATATTCCTGCACCAAACCAGCATCGACCCCGCTGCTGAGACTCAGTTTCAAGTTGGACACTCCGTTCATAGCTCAGAGCCGCATCCTTCCAGCGTTTCATCTCTCGAAGCAACTCTGCATGGGCAAAATGTGCCCGTGGATGCTCATCGGAAAATTTCTTCACGCTTTCTAAAACCTCCAAGGCCTTTTCCATGTCTCCCTTTGCTCGCCATTCAGCAGCCTCGGCAAACAGCGGCAGAGCCTGGCAGTGCATGTCCGTGGTAGGAGCGGTGCTGCCTGTCCCCATGATCCACCAGCGGCAAGTCAGCACACTATCAAGACAATGCTTATGATGTAAGCAATTGGTCTAGATGACACAGGAAACATAAAAATGGCCAAGCAGCTCAAGCATGCTTTGGAAGCATGGTCTTGGACTTGGCTGTTCATGTTCAGGTTGCAATGCGCTGTGTTTGAGTTGAACTGTAACAGATTGTCAAGTAGCATCCGCCTGTCCACACCAGAGGATCCCATGCACCGACTGCGTGCACCACCTGTGACCCACTGTCTGTGTCTGGTGTGCTGGCTCTGCCCCCAAGTGTGCAGATAGAATTCAAAGCTTTGAGGATGAAAACAATGAAATTCACAGCCTTGTGGGTGCCAAGGTGAGACGCTTCAACACCCATAAAAGCAATCGCTGGAGCCATGTGAGGATGCTATGGCATCTGCAATCACATTTAGAGACATGCACTGTTCAGAGTTGTGCTTCAGCTCCTCTGTTTCACAGTACTGAAGGTGGCATGATGTTCGTTGTTTATGCCTCAACGTATGGAATTTTGCTTGATTGACTGCATACACACCTTGTGCCACATTCCCTTCAGCCCGATGGCGATGCATTCCCAGTTGGGCTCGAACTTGTGGGTGGCCAAGGACGAGGTTCTGCGCCAGCGAAAATAGACTGCTTGACAGCCAGTAGAGCAAACTTGCATGAGGCAGCTGCATCGAAATGACAAGAATAGGAATGGACAGCCACTCCAGGAACAGCTTCAGCATGTCGACCAGCGATGAACCTGGTGGCCACGGTGACAAGGATGTTGAACACCGTTGGATTTGGACCCTCACCAACTGGACACCCCAAAATGGTCACATTTGCAGAGGACACTCAGTTTGGAACATCCACGAGGCCTACTAGAAAAGCAGGAACTGAGCGAAATCCAAGGAGCCAGTCAGGTTTCAGGAAGTGTGCCAGCAAGCCAATCGTGTGTGGATCCACCAATTCGTCTCAGCTGACACCATAAGATGAGGAGTTCCAACTATGGAAAACTGATGGCACATTGCACAGGCAGCAACTGCATTCATGCATCCCTTGATTCCTCTCCCTGATACTCAATCTGTTAGCCTGTTGTGGGAGGTGTCCATAGGAAAGAAGCACTGTTGGACACATGATTGCAATAATAACAAGTGCTTTGCCAGGGCTGCACATCCTATCATGAACAGCACCAATTAGAACACCAGCAAATGGCACATTCCTCTGAAAAGGCCCCCCCAACAAGACCACCACCCGGCATTTGCTAAGCTTTGTTGTTAGGCATTGCAGTGCCAGTGTGTGTCAATGCAAAGGCATCCAGGTACAACTTCTGCTTGCAGCACCCAACCAACCAGCGTACAGCACAAGATGAACTGTTTAACTGCACGATGTGGCCATGCCAGAACGAATGACCAGATAACAACAAGGTGAACATCTGCTTCCAGTCTAGCTGTGCATTCAAGGCACAAAGTAATGCTGCAGATATACAGACACTCACCAAAGGGGCCAGCTACGTTGCCTGCAGCCCTTCCACTCCTGAAGCTCAAATCGATATTTGCCAGGTAGGATAGTGTAATGGCAATAGGGACAACACCCCCCAGCACACCAAGAGGCGCAGATGCTGCCCAGAAGTCCATGGCGGGTTGGGTAAGGTCAGCAAACCACAAGACACCACCCTCTGGGAATCCAGGCCACTCAGAATTGGCCATTGAACGAACTGCCATTACTGATGTCACGAATATGGGAATCTGCCATTGACACGCCACAAGTGTTACACAACTGTGCACAGTGATGGGGTCATATCACTTGTTAGGGGCAAGGGACAATAAATTCTTTGGGTTAAAAACTATGGCAAGCGCTATTTACAACAGTTGAACCAAGACAATGATGTTGTTGTTTCCCTGGACCACATAGATGAATGACAATACCTGATTTCAGCAATCGAATTCCGACCCTTATCCAAGTGTACAATCCTTCAAGTGAACATTTTAGTCTCTACACAGATTCTCTTTCACTTGAGCATTGTGAAGCTCAGTAAAGGGGAATGCACAAGGGATGCGTGAATGATTGCAATGCAAACACGAGCAGCAGACAAATCTAACACTGACAATTTTTACACCAGAAAAGCAAAAGAGGAATCTCCTATTCCTGGAAGGTGGAAATCAAGCCATCTAAGTGGCTGCCTTGCCACATGTTTCCTGTTCCTATTTTTCAAATGTTGCTTGTAGACAAGAGCCATGACCCAGCATAGCTTCAGGGCAATTGAATTAGCACAGTTTCACTTGAACAGCTGCTGGACACAAACGTTCTTGGACATTTACATGCTCATCACCGTCTACAATTTGCAACGGCACCGCTTTGTCTTGTTGAGGGCAATAATAAAGATAATGGCAGATTTTCTGATTCACAAGGAAATGAAGCACACTTTGACGATTGTGGCACCAGACTCTCCCAGCAAGGTTCAAAGATGCTGAAGGAGGAATGCCAAAGGTCTGCACCACAATTACATGCTGGTGATCTGAATGGCAAAGCCAAAGTTCCGTCCCCGGGATTTTACTTACACCACTGCCTTGATGCCAGAGGTATCACCTGAATCAATGGACTCGCCAAAATCCAAGCAGGATGTGGGGCACCAGTCTTTTTTCTCATTCTATGAAATAACTCAACAAATTCCCAGGCACCTTCTTTGGATTGAAGACCTTGCTTCTTGCCCCCAGCCATCTTGGGGGCCTTGGCTCTTCTCAATTGCAATGCTTGCTTGAAGAGGTGCACAGTAGATGCAGTTGACTGAATCTGAGGGACAGATGGAACAGAGAAGAAATTGGGTACAAAAATGATGTCGTCGCAAGCTGTATCGCAACAAGTACTTGCACCATCCAGCAATAAAGTCACCTTGCGGAAGCAGAGGAAACATCTCTCACCACAGTCATGACCTTATTAGATTTGATGTCTGGCATGCTCAGCCATTTAATGACCCTTTCTCTGTCTTGTTCCACAATGCTGTTAGGTGGCTGCCAGTGACTTAACAACAAACACAATCAAACCTAGCAGGTCAAGGAATGGAGGATCCCGGTATCCTCTGCATCACAAGGTCACAACTACGCTTCGTTCAAGCAGTGTTGCTGAAGGGAATGGAGGCCTTGCATTCCCTCAAAAAGAAGGATGATCAACTTGCTGAATGGGCAATGGAGGGCATAGACACAGAGTTGCTGGTTGGGACCGCCTGATATGCTAACAAGCAGACCATAGTCTTTTCAGAAATAGGGAAAACTCATGCAGCAGTGGCGTTGCAAAAATCAGTGGCTGAATTCCAGTGGGAAGAATCTTGAATTCTAAACTACGCTTGTTTGCAGTAAGAGTAATGAATTGCGCTTGAATGTATCACACCATGCCACTTCCCCTATTCACAGTGGGCCAGACCTCCCTCCATAGATCCAACTGGCGGCTGTGCGTATCGCCACATGGACGGCACTTCAGCGGGTAGCACATCACCGCAAGGACCATGTTCCGTAGTGAAGTCCACGCATCACCTGTTTGACCGTAAGCGGCAGGAGTAGGGTGCGCATACTGATTGCCGCGACAGGTATTGTGGCCCACCAGGGCATGCCGATCGCCCCGTGCAGCTGATCCAGCGCTGCCGCAGCCATTCCCACCGGCCCCCCGCCCAGCGACGCCTCCGAGCTCTGGGCAACAAACAACGCGTCCAACTCCAAATGCCTCCCCTCATTCCCAACGCCCACAGATGCCGGAGAGGACGCTGCCGTGCCCAAGCTGCCGTAGGCGTGCCATCCCACCATGGGCAGAGAGGTCGCGATCGGGATCATGGAGCTCACCCCCACCAAGGACAGCACCAAGGTGGACTGGGGAGCGCAGGCCAAGGGGCCCCTGGCAGACAAAACTGTACCGATCAGCCCGTTTTGGATCCCAGGGAATAGGGTGACCTTTGCCACCGGTTTTTCAGATTCCTGGACTGTGGACTTGCCCGACTGTCTTGCGGGCAGCCACGCTGTGGAGCCCCTGCCTCCACATTCTGGACAGTGACGCCCAGAGGCGAAGGGAGGGAGTTCTGGTCGTTGGCGGGAGGCTGTCTTCGGGCTCAACCGCTTGGGCGGCGGCGGCAGGCGCGTTTATCCATGGGGATGCATGGACCAGGGGTTGTAGTGTGGCGCCTTTTTGGGTGTTCGGGAGGCTTCACGATGGCAGGTCAAGGTCTGTGGAACTGTACGACAGCTATAAACATAAGAACTGAAAATGCCTGTATTGAAAACCGTGCAGGCTGTGCTGCTGTTGGGAGGGGGGGCATCGTCACATTGCACAGCATTGCGCTGCTATGGTTGTTGTGAGCCCTGACATCTGAGTGCGCACCTTCATCCCGTGAGATTTGATGCTGCAATCCACAAGAGCAATTGCAAAGGGAAGGGTCACTGGGGGACAACTAGGTCGAATTTTACTGCAAAATGGCAATTTGCAAACCCATGTTCGCCCTATCTTTCGCCCTATACAAGTTCATAGCGCAACTGGGCGTCTGCAAGACCGTCATTATTTCGGATTTATTGGCGTGGCTTCGATGTGAAGGCTGGTCCAACTTCGAGCTCAGTTTATTTCCGTTTCCGTCGCTCTTTCGCTCCTTAGGCTGCGACAGAGATTCCCCATCAGCCATTGTGAGATATAGGTGTTTCATCGGGTTCAAGGGGGCGCATCCCTGATACTGGTGTGCTGCATGGGCGTCATTGCGTTTGGTTTGTACCATTTCTACTGCTGACTTTCATGGGCATAGTCGCAGTTTTCCCGCCATTGCCCTTCGCAAGGTGCAGGCGCCCGCTTTTTACTTCCGGTGGCGAAATCAATCAAAGGAATTTAGTGACTGGCTTGCGGACCACTCTGTCGATTCTTCATTGGCAGGAAATTGGCATTATCGTGCATGGCGTGCAACGTTTTATGATGCACAAATCTAGTCCGCCGGATTGCTCAGGGACACACCTCGCTTCGAAAGTATTTTGTCAACCTGTGCAGCAGCATACCATCACCTCAGCAGGAAATAGTTCTGCACATTTGCTCTACAGGTCTGCAAGGCCACCAACGGCTCCAGGCGCCCATACGATTTAATTATGCACAAATTGCAGTGACATCTGAACCTTGTAGTTGGTATACTGTGAGGTGTGGTGCATGTGTGCATTCACCACGAGGAAAATGGCTGCCATTTGCACATGGCAGCCATGGGCATGTGCCAATATGACAAATTGGACATATACGAAAACCAGGGTGACAGAAGGACGCTGTGAACAATAGTGGATAAAACAGGCCCCTGACAAAGTTGCATCGATCATGCCAGCTTGTTAAAGGTGGCCGTGGCATCCAGCAATGGGATCATTGAAGCAACAAGCGAAGCTCGTTGGCAGGGAGCCCCGTCTACTTCAGCTTGAGTGTGCAACATTACAAGGAGAGGCGTCGAGCCTGGTGCCGGCCTGCGGCCGCCATGGTGCGAGAGGAGGTGGTGGGTGCGGGGATCCTGGAGTTGCGGGAAGTGCGCCCCACGCCTGAGGCCTTAATCGACGCCACCCAGGGCGGCTACTGGCCAGGCATTGGCAAGGCATGGGGCGTTGTGCGTGATTCGCTGTTCCTGTGGAGCCCTGGCGAGAGGTACGACCATGGATTTGCACGACGCCAGGTGGCATTGATTCCAGCTTCGCTTTAGTTCGCTCCGATGCTAGAGTTTGCGGCGATTGTACCGCAGCCACTGTGAAAATCCCGCTGCGATTGCCGAAGACTGGCAATTAATTGGGCCCGTGCTGGCGGTCGGTTCACTGTCACCGCGCTGTACCGAGGTGCAGCAAGTGTGCTTCAGCGCGAACACACACCGCGGTGATATACCTGTGCCTGCACTGCTGTGAGACTCGGAGTAAGACGCTTCATTTCATGTTTGGGTGCAGTCCGACTGTTGCGAAAGAAGTGAAGCTCCGAGCCGACGTCACGGCTGTTGCAGTCGTGGAGACGTTCTCTAAAGCGGTCGCAAATGCCGTCGTGGTGGCGACAACCTCGCAGGTACTGGATCAATGAAAAATCGATTTATGAAGGTAACCCATTGGCCCTCTTCTACGTAAATTCAACAAGGAACTTGCACCTCCTGTGGCCTCTGATTCTTGCCCTTTGTGGGTATTACCTATGAGCCTTGGGTGCGAAGCCAGTTTCTGCCAATGTTACTGGGACTGTCCTGTGGAACAGCTTATTTGCAGTCACTTCTCTAGTGGCTTGAAGGTGATGGTTTTCAAGTTGAAAGTGACCACGGCGGGGAAAATCTTATGTGATTTCCCCAAGTGACTACATCCCTTTGTGGCAGCCCTCTGATGGCTTGTGTGTACCTGCAGGTCTGGCTTGTGGAAGCGTGGGACGATGCACACCTCGTGGCAACTGCCACAATTGATACTGAATGGACTGTTAGGGCCATCGCCACCCTTCCAGGGACTGATCGCATCTTCTGTGGCGCTGACGATGGCCATGTGTATGAGTTAATTGTCCACAGCCGGGCGGGTCTGGAGCCACTGAGGCAACTGCAGATGGTAGGTGCCACTGCTCCTCCATGTTGGCCTTCAGTTGATTCCATGTGGAGTCTGATACACAATTGCTAGTCGCGACTCAAACTTGAGTATTCTGCAAGGAGGGGTTGCTGATTGTGTGCCCTGCATTTCTTCCCTTAACAATAGTTTTCAGCTGGTGCCTTGGTTCTGCACTCAGTGTTTCCATTTGGGGTGCCAAACTGCCCTGCCAGCCTCTGCACGCCTGGGCCCTGCTGCTACCTGCGGCAGTGTTGATTCTTTTTTCTGTGTTCAGGTGTGCCACACACGGAGCTGGATGGACCCTCTGCTGAAAATTGTGCACAAAGTACACGGAGGGGTTGTTCAGTTGATGGCTGACACAGAGCGAAGCATCTTGGTGTCGCTGCACAACGATGGCGAAATTCAGGTGAAGTTTGCAGTATGCCTTGATTTCATTCTGGATACATTGAGACAAAATAGAACAGCAGCAAGTTGTGCATTATGCCCTGTTAGGGATTGTGTTTCAGTGCCCGTGCTGAACGAGATTTGAATGTTGGCAGGCATTTGATCTTGGGCATGACAACAGGAAGCGGCCAACAAGAGTGGGAACCATTTGTCCTGTGGCCAAGGTTGATCCTGCAGAGCAAGCAGTTGTCATGTGCAGAATCCGTAAGTAATGGCAACCACAAGCCAATACTGCTTCTGGAGCAAGAAAGTGGCAACCAGACCAGGCATCCTTCGATGATTGAATGATTTGATCGGTCAGTTGACATTCCATACTTGTGATCCTCGGACCGCACAGCCCACGGCACCCAACAGAAGCGCAATATTGTTTGGAGAGGCATCCTCCATTCACTTTGACAGAACTGTTTATGCGCACAGGGTGCAGTGTGAATATGTCTGTTGAGCTGATCTGCTGGACTGTGGCCTATTTGCATGCTGCCTGCAACAACCATGGTCATACACTTGTGCCGATTTGTGCTGCAGCAATCGCCACCTCCAGGGAAAGGCAATTTGTGATAATGGGACGAAACGGATACCAGATCTTTCTCACAACTTGGAAAGAAGGGCTCAGCTCAGGGAGTCAACGCCCAGACTGTCTTCGAGTAGTGTCCATGAACCCTCCCTGGGAGGACAGGTATTCAACAAGGACTAGTGATGCTCTGCAGCCCACACACCATGCATGCCAAGGATGTCTGTGAATCTGATATGCTGGCTGAAAGCATCTTTCTCGTTGGTTTGAGGGCATTCAACAGTGTCGTCTTGTCTCTGCCCCCTTTTGGTTGATGAAGCATGTGACTGCTGTACTTGACTCCCACGAATGTCTCAAATGTATTGCTTCTTTCTGTCTTTCTGCACCTGTTCAGATTCTGCACTGTGCTGACAGTCTTTCATGGTGTTTTCAATGATGCTGCCTCCAGGTGTCATTGGATAGCCACAGAATATATGTACTTGCAATGCTGATGGCTGCAAACAAAGGGTTCTGTTAGAGTTGAACTTTGTGCCATTGACAGCATTTGTCACTAGAAGTTGCAAGCATGAATCAAATTGAGTGGTGCATTGTTGGGAAGGCACCATGTTGCGTTGTTATCACCTGCAAGAACATCATGTGCCTCAATATTGTCTCTCGGGGCTTGATGTTAGTCTCATAATGCAGTGAGTTCATGGTTGCATTTGAATATCACATATGTGTACCTAGGTGATCATGCCATCCAAGTGCATTTCTGCTTGACAGCCGTGTTGGTTGCATGTTGTGTCTGCATCTTCTTCCTATGTGCTGCTTGGTCCCCTTTGGATTCCTTCCAATATGGTCCTTATTTTGCAACTGAGACTGCAGTGGCAGATCTTTCTGCTGCAGATATCATGGATAGTTGGCTGATATCTGCTGTGGTCATGTGTCCCTCTGGAAGCTCACCCCTTATATGTTTGTCACGATGTTGCAGCACAATGATAACAGCGGCTGTCTCTGGAGCAGACACTGTGCTTGTGGAGCAAACAGGGCAGAAGTTGAAGCTGTGGCTGGTGATGGGTGAACAATATGTATCAGGCTTGAACAGCTTGGAGAAGATAGGTTCGTCCACAGTACCAGCCTTGTCTCTTCGTCATCATCATCCTGTATGGACTCTCAGTGCTTTTTGGTGTTCTGTATCTTTGTCTCCATGAAAAGGCAACCAAGATAGTGTATGCCAGCCTGGGCTGTGGTAGGTGAGTGATTTGATGGCAGGAAGTGCAGTTCAAGCTGTGCTTATTGCTTTTTACTTTTGCTATTTGAGCTGTCTTAGCCAATAAAGGCGGTTGGTTGCCTTTGGTTACTTCTGTTCTTTGATGTGGGCATTGCATCGCAAGTAAATTCTCGTAGTGGCCCTTGTACAATCAAATTGGATGTGGGCTTTCTGGCGACTGATGTCAGTGTGAGGCGATGCAAGACAGAAGGTACAGTTGGTTTGTGGTACCAGGTCGTGTGCTGGGTCTGGCACCTGATAAGGACGACAATGGATATGTGTTGGTGGGAACACAGAACGTGGCACAGATCAGGAGGAAGGACACATTCGAGGCCCTGGGAGTTGAAGGATTTGCTCGCGTGTTTGGTGTGGAGGAAGCTGCCGCAGAGTGCTTTCGGCTGGCCACACTTTCAAAGCAGCACGCCGGCCAGGTGCGATCAGTTTAGAGCTCTGGCATGTGGCATGACAATTATTTGTTGGTTATCTGGTTGTCTTTCCTTTGTCCTGAATGCTTTGTGTTATGATTGCATTTTGCAGCATCAGGGCCCTGTTGTGTGGGACCTTGCTCTACTTGTGAATTGTGAATCAACACAACCAGTGAATCGACAGGCCATCGTTCAAGATTTTATCACCTTGTGTATCAGTTGTGTTGTGTTGTCTCTGTGTGTAGGTCATACAGTGTGACCCTGGATAGTGCATCCATGTCCACATATTGTTGTGGTGGCATTTTCAGTGTTGAAACTACAGTTGAAGAATATCTGGATAAGTGACCGATGCATGCCTGTGGGCGATGGAAGCAATCGGCCCGATGTCTAATGGTGACTGGGCCGTGGCTTACGTTGTGGTGATATTTTGTCTGTAGGGAGTGATCCATGCCGCAAAATGTGCACTGCTTGAGAGTCTTGATGAGGGTGCATGTTTGTCAGGTCTGCGACTGACCAGAAAGCGCCTCTTGGACCCGATTTATGGCATGCAGCTTGTTTCTTCGGGCTCAAGGGCACTGCTGCAGGTTGGTGTTTGTCTCCCAATAAAGGTCACCAAAAGTTGTCTGGGTTGTTCTGGGGCGCTTTGTTCCAGCCCTGGTCAAGAGTTCTGGCCAAGAATGGTGTGTCTGTGTCTAAAAAGACTGTGCTTTTGCCCTGGGCTGTGCACCAGTTGCACAGGTCCTGTGCGTGTTGTGCTTGACTTGTGTGCTGATCGTGTGTGCCTTGCAGGAGTTAGTTTCGAAGTACAGTGCTGTGTTGGCCTTCATAGAAGAAAATCTCCCACATCGCAGGTACAGGCTGGACTTGTTGCCAAAGCGACCTGGAAGTATTTGTCGTTTCTTCTGTGTTGGCTGTTCCGCTATTGAATCGTTGAAGTTTTGGGACCATTGGTCCAATATTCCATCTTTGCTTCTCAACCCAGTTGGCCAGGAGATCCCTGAAGTTGCTTCTGTGTTGTGAGCTTTCTGTAAGAGCCCTCTGGCCTTGCATGTGCTTTTTGCAGCCTGAATTATGAAGTGAAGAAGCCCTTGGACAGGCTGGAGTTGCTGCTACTCTTGGGAGAAGCCGGTGATGTCAGCGGCCAACATTGCTTGGGGAGGCTGGTGGGTGATGTGTGGGTGCTGCTGCTGTAAATTGCTGGGACTAAGGGACTTGCCAGGCAGAAAGCAACTGTCAGTGACAAGCACGACTGTTCTTAGCCGCAGATGTGAACATGTGGCTTGGGTGACAGCACAACAGGCTTGAGATGCTTGACTGACAGGCAAGATACAGTGCAGTACAGTTGACCTGCAGTATTGTGTGTCTCCATATGCCATGAGGTGAAGTTGTATATCTATGTGCAGGCATAATATGGTGCCATGCTCATGGTTTGTTTTAAACTCTGTTGTTTGCTGCATCCATGTGGGTGTGTTTCCTTGCAGAGTTGTGGCCAGGCATTGGATGACGATCGTGCATTCCATGTGGTGCTGGAGGTTCTGATTGCCATGGTGGACGATCGTTTACTCATAACACATGCAACGCCAGAGCTCATAGAGTACCTACAGCTTAAGTCCAACCTCGCTGGAGACGACCTAATATCCCCAGAGGCGTCTGGGTATGCCCACCTCCTTGCCAGAGTGCACCGTGAGCAGGGTAACAGCCTGGCAGCTGCAACCATTTTCAGAGCGTTGGGTCATAGAGCTGAGGGAGTGGCATTGTCATTGAGGATTCAATATGTAGCAGCTGCAGTTGAGCAGGTGAGCATGCTCACCTGCGTTTGCTTGTGGGACATTCGGGGCTTGAAACAATTTCTGCAAGCCTTGGCTGCCCTTGGAAGATTCTTGCCAGCCAAATACAGGACAATAAAGAGTAGTATATGAATGAAGTGAACACGATTGCAGCAGCTTGTTGGGGGAAGTGTTGTTGTGGGGCAACAGGACACCCGTATAACTCCAGAATGCTTTTGAACACATACGATCGACATTTTACCAGGTGCAGTCGCCCGCAGTCTGAATGATTGTCACCATGTCCCATGTACAACAGTGCTCATTGGGATCAAACGAGTTCATGGAGGCCATACCATGGATCTGTGGTAGCGAGCGCAACTTCTTGTCAGTACCTTTACATTGATGGTGATGAACCCACACACCAGTCTTGCGTCTTCACTTTGTGACCTCGTTTCTTGTGGCTCATAATTATCGATGTGTCCCTTCGCAGTACAAGGCGGGCGAGCACAGCGACTACCTAGAAGATGCTCGTCATGACCTCAGAGTTGCTCTTGTGCAGGAGAGGCTGGTGCGCCGACTGGAGCTTTTGCATGAGGACAATGCCATTCAGAGGCTGTCCTCTCGTTTAGCTCCTGCACAGGAACTGCACGATTTCTACACACAAGACTTTCAGGTTTGATAACAAACTTTGTAAGCGCATGTATTTTGTCTGAACAATAGAAGGGCCGGCGCCCAAGGGTCACCCACACATCTTATCCCAACGTACGCATGTGGGACTTGCGAGCATTGCATGCACTTGTCAGGAACAAGCACAGCTACGAAACAGTTGCATGTTCCTCGCTTGTGCGCAGAGGGATTTGGTTGCGATCGTTTGTCTTCTTGTTTGTGGTTGTCACTGTTGGTGTCATGCATGTGAAAAGCATTTGCAGGCTTTTTTTTTCATTTCAGCCAGTAAAAGCGGACGTGGGGCTCCTTGCCAACGAGTTTTTTTCTTAAATAATGTGAAACACTCCCAGCTCACCTGCAAAGGCGATGTGTCACACTCACTTCAACATATCGGACGTCTGTACAGCCCAAAGTCGGTCAACTTCACCAACACACCCATCCATCAACAGTTGTCTTTCTATCCTTGACACTGCGCGGACTACGAACCTTCAAAGTTGGTACTTGATCCTTGAGGATGCAAATAGAGAAATAACGAATTGCAGTGGTGCGGCTGTGGCAATGAGATTTGGAGGAAGATGGTATGCACTTGGTGGTGGCAGCACTGTGTGCACACCTTTGGAGATCCCCTTTGTTGGTCTGGCTGTGAGTTGTGTGCTTTCTGCAGATCTGGGACATCAGCCTTCACCTCGTGGCCCTTATGGATGCTAATCCTGGGCATGATATAGTTGGCCGGCTGTGGGACCTCCACATGGCACAAGGCTGGCATGAGCATCCTGAAGCGAACTTGATGGAGAAATTCCGGGCTGTTTGCTGCCGGGTCGCGGAATTGGCGCACCACCTCAGGCAGCTTCCTTGTAGCAGAGATTGGAGGTAAGCCAATACGCAATGCACACTGCCGTTTTTTGCTCACGTCTCTATGCATGCAGTCAACGTGAATCCACGTCTTGTATCAAAGCCCGAAATGGGATCACTGGCTGTTGCACTGTCATCTTTTGGCTCCAACACATACATCTAATGTAGAATCTATTAAGAATTGTATTCCAGATGCTGCCGGCACATGTGAATTGCGTTCACGAGCTGAGTCAGTGCTTTTGAATAGGTTTGTCCTCCAATTGTGCTGCAAACCACAGACGCGAGGGCGTAGATTCGATCGATATGCTTTGTTCTCACTGAGCTCCTCAAAATAGGTCGTGCCAGTTTTGAGATCAGTACACACAGTGCTGTGGGCAGTCAGTTTTGTTGAGAGTTACGAGGAAACCGAACTGCCAGGATGAATGTTAGAAATTTGCGCATCTCTGATGTCCCCGCACCAGCAGTTGTCACAGTTGCAGTGCTTTTGTACCAGAGGGCGGCAGTGATTGGCGAGTTCATGTCAGTCCTCGCCATTCATCGCAGGCCATCTTCTGCCACTTCATTATCAAGCGAATTTCGAGTAGACCAGGTGTATGGCTGTCTGCGAGAACCGCAATGATTTCTCTCTTGCGCGTTGCACAGCAGGTTGACAGGATTTTGAGTGGCAACGATGGGCGTTGAGCTTCATGTGTCCATGCAGTTCTGCATGCCCTGAAGTTTTGCAGTATGGTGACAACATCCTGTGCCATTTGGTGTGTGCCCTTAGCTTCCCTCTGGAGCATCTGTCGAGCAGGTTGGAGGGCATGGCGGCGGGAGAACTGCCGGAACCCCACGGCCCTCTGCCATCAAAAGAATGCGCTGCGATGATAGCGGCAGCACTGGCCCAGGGCGCCGACCATAAAGTGCTGGCGAAGTTCTACTTCGGACTGGTGTCGAAGCAGTGGATATCTCGTTTCAAGGACAGGCTGGAAGAGACGTACATGGCGATTCGTGCCACAGCACAGCGGAACTTGGAGAGCTGAAAAACTAGCAGGCATGCCAAAGTGGGTTTGAAATGGAGCAGTGGACTCTGCGCGCCTGCCCTCGTGACTGCAGGTCACGCATAGGCCCGCCTATCTTCCCCGTGCGCGGAAACAGGTAAACTGGGCCCCCAGGCAGGCAGTGCGTTGAGGCACTTGACGGCTTCTTGATGACGCAGTGAATGATTCACCGATGTGTCGGTGGTGGTTGGTTTGGGAATCAGCAATTGCAGCGAGTCCGATGAGATTTGGCAGGCGTTTTGATTGCCTGAGGCCTAGACATGTCAGGGAAATATGTCTGCGGGTCGGGAGCTATGTATGCATGCATGCATAATGGCGCCCAGCACGAAGGGAATAAAGGCATTCAGAGGGCAGGCCCTACTCCTCGAGTTTTGGCGGATCCATGCGGTCGACAACGGATCAGGCTCACAGTTCGTTGTGGATTCGTGCGTGGTGAACAACACAGTGTGAGGGTGCAGCAATGCGTAGCAGTTGCTTACAACGCTGCACATATTTGCTCTGGAACCATTTGTGGCAAAATATGATGCGCTCCGTGCCAGCTATCGGCGTTCCGTGTCCCCCCGTGGATAAACCCACTGCAACTGGTGAGCTGCATGCCTCAGCAACAAGGGCGATAGCCTCTTCGCTTGTGGGGCATGCTGAACTCATTCAGTTTGCCTTGCCACAAGCCGGCCAGCAGCGACTCATGCAACACACAAATTGATGGCGTGTTCGGTGTGTCATATTTTCACAAGAGAAACAGCTGCTGGGTCCAGTGGAGGGATGGCAGCTAAGAGCACGAGTTCCGTTCAGTTTTCGAATGAGTTTCCAAAAGGAACAGCTGCCCAAACAAACGCTTCACAGAGACACTGAACGGCATTCGCACTAGCAATGGCTCCGAAGCTGGCAAGTAGGATGGCAAGCGTGGGCAAAAGTGTGCCGTGGACGACCTTGGCCAAAGCTACATTGCTGACATCCTGCAGATTGGCGACGGAACCACATGCGCCAGTTGGCAGCTACGAATAGCAGCTGCTGGTGCGGATGGCTATATTTTCTTGCAAGAAAGTGGTGCACTCTGTTAACGCATGATCCAGTTGGTAAGTCACCATTTGTGGTGCTGCAAACCACTCCACACCCTGTGACGTGCGGTCTACATCCCTGAGCCCAATCCAAGTTCCTCAATGTGCAAGCCTCGCAGTTTCGCATAGTCCTCTGGTGCCATCATTGTGCTTTCCAAATGGTCAGAATCGCCCTGGCGAAGGTGTAGGAGGGCAATATACCCCTCAGCTTGGCACCTTCAAACGGCAACAGGCCCCAATTTCAGAATGCAACAGGTGCGCACTCACAGGGACCATTGTTATGGAGCTGCAGGCGCTGCACGTCATAGCCAACATATTCAAGTTGCAAGAACATCTGCCCGATCGTTCAAAGCATGGTTCCCATGCACAGCCATTCATCTGCACAGTTCACTTGCTTTACTTCAGCACATTTCACATACAGTTTTGCGTCCTATCAACTCACTTCACTTCATTTCACTCACACTTCACACAGCAGATCTGCAACACAAGCAAAGACAGTCTTGGTGCCTTGGCCAGAATGCACAGAACACACAGTCTTTCCGGGGCACTCTCACCTTTCTGCGATCAGGCGTGGCTCAAGGGTCAATCTTTGGTTGACTTGGAGCAACTTGCCCCTTGTGCAGGCTCGAACCACAAAGGTGTTATCCCCACAGTTAACTTTGCAAATGACAGAATCAGGCTGCAATATGATGTCTCTTCTCCCTTTGCCCCTTTGCCCATCCCTCCAGCGCTTCCCATTGCTCTTCACATCCAGTCGATTGCTCTTCCCCACATTGAAGTTTATGCTGGGCTCAAGCTTATCCCTGACTTCTTTGGCTGTGTTGTGTTCACCTTGTGTGCCAAGGTCCTCGCAGTGCTGAACTTGCTCAGGACGTCTGCTGATTTTGCTGTCACCATCAGTTGGGCAGCCAACCACATGACTATGATACTGTCCATCACTCTCCGAAGCCATGCACACCCTTTTGCTCGCAGAGTTCTTACCCTGCTCTGGGGCTAGGGGCCCTTCAGTGTTGTCTGCATCCACGCCTGCAGCAGTGCCTGGCTGGCACACTGGAACAATGCTCTGCTTTCCCAATGGAAATCCTTGATTCTGCACTGATGCACCTCCGTCCGGTGTGTGTGGCCTGCTCTCATCTTGGATGTGCTGATCTGCTCTGCTGATCATCGCAAGGATTTCCTTTACCAATGGGTGGACCTTGGTGATCCCCGTTATGCAGATGCCGTTGGGATGAATGTAGAAGTACTGGTCGTGGCACATCAATCCATTCACATTCACAGCATACCTTCTGGTGTAGGCCTCCTCAAGATGTGTCTTTGGTCTCTTTGCCAGAGGCTCCAATCCATCCAGTATCGTCTCTAGCTGCCAATCCAGATGTAATTGCTTCAATGGTGCAAAACCGTGATGCCCCGCACACGCTGATTCCGCAAGGGGGGATCGATGCATCCCAAGTGAATGCGTCGCCAAGTCCATAAACGGCTCGTTTGATGGTCCAAAGGGCAAGAAGGTGGGCCCAACGCTATTTAAGAACTGGGGCGATGCCGACAGTTAAGGACAGAGAAAGAAAAGAGTTTGGTGGCCAGGTGCGAGGTGAGCTCGCGATTTGGGTTGGAATGGATAACAGTTCGTTCATCAACCCCTGAACACACGGAACTCACAGGGACCTCGTCTTCAAGCTCGCTCCCGTGCTGCATTGTTCCAACGAGGGACTCTGCAGACGTCCCAGACCTGCGCAGAGGGGCACGCTTGATGAGCAGGCAGCTGCTGGCCGTCGCAAAACCTTGAAAAAATAACTGTTACAGGTGTGACGCGTGACGACTGGACGTATTCTTTCTTGAGTGCAATCCAACCATCGTATTTCGACAACAGCGCAACTGCTGGGCAGGCGCGGTTCTTGCGACTCCGACTTGACACAAAGATGCGTTGTTGTCTGTTGCGCTGAAAGAGAATGGGGCGCTGCAGCTGCGGATAAGACCAGCTACCAGCTCTGCGGAGCTGCGGGCAGCAGCCTATGCGAGAGTGGCAACCTTACAACCTGGCGACCCAGGCTTTGTCGCCAATAAGGTAGACACGCGCACTAGATTCTCGGTGTGTGGCTTCTGCAGAGGGGTCTGTTTGGCACATCCATTACACCCGCACGTCACCCACATTGCGGTCTGTTCAACAGCAGTAAACAACCATCAATGAAGAATGAAAAAATACTGATGTGCGTGAGCAAAGCGCAACGTGCTTGCTGTGGACGTTAAAGCAGATTGGACAACTGAAGAAGTCGTTTCATGTACAGAGGCGGCGCAGAGCCACTGCCGATGCAGTCTGGAAGGAGCTTGAGGAACGCGCTGCAAGTATGGAAATGGGCTGACTTTCGAGGTTGGCACAGCTGGATGTATGCATCTTTTCCCCTGTATCAGCCTCCACTGATGCATGTAAAAACTTTGCATTTTGCTGTGTTCAGCTGCAAAGGGACAGACATCACCTAATAGGTCAAAATGGGCGGTGATTCGCCCTGTTGTGACAAACGTGAATATATGGGCATTCCCTTTACTCTACTTGGTTTGCTGCAGGAGCTGATCCACTTTACAGCCATCTCACAACATGCAGCCTTGTTGCTGCTATCCCAGAGGATGACAGCAGTTCACTTGTGGGAGACGTCTGTGGAAGCATGATCGACTTGTCTTGCAAGCTCCCAGCTGAAGGCTCGAATCCAGCAGAGCTAGTGGTGGGGTCGTTGGATGTGATGGTGGGAACACACCTTCCTGAGGAGCATCTGATTGGAAGACTTCCCGAAGTAAGTTGCAGGTTCCTCTTTTCCTCAATGCTCTGAACTGAATTGTCATGCTCAAGGCTGTGGCACTTGTATCCAGTCCAGCAGGCTAAGGGCCAGGCTACTACAAGGCAATCCCCCCACAGCCTTGGTCTTTTGTAGGCACATTCACCATGAAACATTGTGCAGCTGAAATCCAGAAGTGGCTGGTTAGCTGCAAGGATGCCCATTGTTTGTCTGCAGTGTGATCAGTCTTGCACAGCTGTGACAGTACAACCCATGCCCATTCACACTTACCCTGACTCTCTGGTTATTGCACATCAACCAACATTCTTACATCAAGCGACTTGTGTAAGCTGCAATGATGATTCCTGGCCCAGTTGGCATGGTATCACGGGCCGTTGCTTGCCAGCTGTGGCGCCGAATGTGTGGCACAAGTGCAGCTGATGTGTTTTCTGTTTCCATGGCTTTTAGTTAACCACCCGCTTGCTAATGTCATCTCTGTCCATTAATTAGATCGAAACCTTGTGGACATGGCAAGACGAAATCCTGGAAAAGCATGACTGCAGACCAGTGGCCATGGTGGCTGTTTTGTCACAACAACCCCAGTTGCCATTGTCCGGATCCATCCTTGACTGGTGATCCAAGGATCGGCTCTCTGCAGCAGATCATCTCCATCCATTGAAGGTTTTCGAACAGGTCGTTCAGAATGCACAATTGGTCCCAATGGGTTTGCAGTATCCATTCGGGATGGTGCTAACCACAGTTGTTTGGAGTTTGCACATGCATAATCACCAGGTAGCCCAATAGGCGATTGATGCCATTCCAGCGGCACTGTGTTTTTTCGTTGAGTACAATGAGTTGCAACCCCCAAAGCCATCTTGTCTCCCTCTTGTGCACATAGTGCCAAAACAGACCTGACCATTGCTCATGCACAGCTTGAGCCTTCCCTGTTGTGCTGTGCACAATGGTGCGCATCGACATTGAGAGATTGTGTGGCAGTGGTTTTAGGGCCCTGATGGACAACATCGTGCTTATTTGGCAAATGTCAGCACTGTGCCGGCGGCAAGAAGAAGGGTAAGAAGTCATTACTACCCAGGAAGACAACCAGCTTGCGCATTCTGTCACGATGATTCCTACTGCAGATGAACAAAGTTGCACTCAGCACCCTTGTTTCTGTAGCTTTTTTGCGTACCATTGTTTCTGTGATTCATTTGTTTGATGCCGCCTGGTGGCTCTGTTGCAGGGTGTTGCATCTCAGTTGATACAGGCTGCTGAAAGTCAAGCAGTAGCGCAAGGTGTGGATATCCCAAGTACCCCATTCTTCTGAAGTTCCAGTTCATCTGTGTTGAAGGATTGTGCGATTGCATTGTGTCAATCGCCCACCCTGCTGCTCATGTGTCAGTTTATGCTTGAATCTCTGTTGGCATTTTGGAAGCCCTTGCAGCCCCGTGGTGAGTGTGGGGAATCTGCAGCTGGTTGGTGTGGGACCTACCTTTTAGAGTGTGCACAATTTCTGGAACAAGTTGTTTGAGTTGGTAAGCATTGTGGGCCTGACCAGCATTAATTGTGCGTATGCATTTCTCTGCACAGGTGTCAAGTACATGTATGCCCACGTTGTTGCAGACAACTACCCTGCTCTGGCCCTGTACATGAATGCTGCAGGGTACACAGCAGAGCAAGAGGAACTTCCAGGCATTGCAAAGACATGTGGGCGACCACAACGTATTCTAGTAAAGAAGGATCTGTCAGCTTAAGTGTTCTTTCCACAATGGCAAGGATGTGGGTGCGAAATTGTTGTTTGACAGAGCTGATGCTGGTACTTGCAGCAATGAATCCAGCAAGCAGCCGGGCAAGCACTGAGTTATGTGCACTATGTTATGCAATCCCAATTTCGCAGGTGACCAAGTGGGAAGCGAGGGTTGTGGTGCCCTTGGTATGGCTTCTTTTTTCGCTGGTCGTTTTAAGGCAGGGCTTGAACCAGGTGCAACAAGGTGCTTGCCCCACTCTTGGCAGGATCTTGGTGTTGGATTCTGTCCTGCATATCTCATTCAAAGATACACCAGCTTATGCTTGGCATACGCTGCCCAAGCAACTATGTGCGTGTTTCAAACGGCTTCCATGGCTTGTTGGCAGAAGTTGATACCTGTCTCATTACCCTGTCGCTACGAACCTCCAGGTGTTAGCATCTGCTGCAGAGCAGCATTGGCTGAATCGTAGACGAAGTTTACATGTGAATATGCGGTACAGTGGGGTACCTATATAGCACCCTGCCCCCCATGGCGCCCAGTTTTTTGGCTTGACACCATTTTTGTAGTACATGCCGCAGTCCTGCTGTGCAATGGAACCTCATAAAAGCATGTTGGACACTCAAACGCACTCAGAAGAGGTATTTGGTAGACCTGCAATGTTCGTCGGTCTTACGCAGATTCGATGATAGATATGAACTTTGTATATGAGTTGTTCCTGGTCATGATCATGCCACCCGTGGTCCCACTGTTCGGGTCGCCAATAAATGGGCTTCATCAAAAAAATAGCAAATCAAGGATATCACTCAGCTGACGACCTGTGAGGTCCAGATATGGTGCAGAGGGGATGTCGACAACCTCAGCACCTTCGCCACACTGATTATCTTCCAACAGGTTGGCGCTCAATGCGGCAGGAAACCCCCAAGTCATCAGTCAGGCATGCTACGTAATTTCTAGTATTGCAAGCTCAAGGGACTCAGTGCGCAAGGAAATGACTTCAATGACAAAGATAGACTATGACGACTTATCGTACTTTCAGAGAGTCCACTAAGATACTGTAAAGATGCTAAGCACAACGCAATACGTGGCACAGCATCATACGGGGACAAATGAGCCAGACACACCCAAAACGCCTTGGAGCACTGAGGAGCACCCACGTTGCCATTGGACGCGCATGCTTAGTTAGGGGCTGCTTGGATGGCGGTCTGCCATGGACCTCAGTGAGACGGAGCCAGGAGGGGCGTGTGGAGGCGCCACGTGATGGTTTGATGGGAATATGGCTTGGGGCATTACATGGTTGACTGCGAAAAGTGTGGTTGTTTGATGGGAATTGGGCCCTTGGGGCATTGCATGGTGGCTGATCATAGACAGTGGGATGTATAGAGTTAAGTTGCAGTGAAATGGCGGGTGCGGCAGAAAGATTCTGGGTATCAAAAGAGCATTTCTGAGGAATGGAGGGTATTTGCCAGAGCTTGGGAGGTTTTACTGGTACAAGGGGCCCCCAGTAGTAGTACAGGGGCCACACCTGGGCATGACGAATGCTATGGGGGACTGTATTGTTGCACTCGGCTTGTCAGCTGTAAGAGCGTTCACGTGGCGTTCGTGTGTGCTTCTCACAGATGTCTAGGCACTCAGGCTAGTTGCTTGACTCCCTGGCCATGTGCGCAAAGCTCGCCACGGCCTGAGCACATTAGCGCTTGACCTTTTCGAAGGTCATGGCCAGTAAGTGCCAGTTCTAAGCCGCTTTTCTTGCTGCTCAAAATCAACACTGCCAACGTAGTTGTGTTGCTAGCCAAAAGTGACCAACCTTCCCTGTTGCACAACTTCGTCGAGGTGGAAAGAAGCATCTGTCGTGTAATGTACAAGGTTGCTCCGACCCGTGGGGCTAGCCTGTCCCTTACCTCGATGACATTTGGGGAGTGGTTGCAATCGGTTGTGGCGCTCTGGGGTTCAGTTGTGAGAGGTTCTACAAGCGCATTTACATGCTTAATGGTCAATTGGATGTTTGTTGCTCGTCTGAAGCTTCCCTTGCAGTCGCTGCTACTTTTGGTCTTCAACATCACAACGACTAGCAGTTCTTCATGAGGAAACGGGTTGTGCAAGAGGCAAAGCTTGTTCGTTCAGTGCACCCTTAACTGACGAGGTATTGAGGCTGTCGATGTGGTTCAGCTGCCCATTCAGGGGTGATTTGATTGCGCTATGCCCAGCCCTGTTGGGCACGCCATGGGCCGCTCGCATAGCGGCATGGAGGCAAGGTTCCTACGGCAATAGATTACATGCAGGACAGAATGACAATAGCACAATTGGCTCAAGTATACATCCAAAAGATTGTTCAGATTAGCATAATACTAACCATTAAGTGGTGGGCCCAAAACTACCAAAGTAACCAAATACAAGAGAACCTAAACAATCCCAAAAACTTCCCCTAAGGTTGCTTCCCAACAACAACATGTAGTGACTATAGTTGGTACTAAATTGCCTCGAGTTGAAAGTCACAACATCACTTCCCCCCTACATGAGAGCAATTGTCCGTAGACATGGAACCCACAAAAAGACAAAAATGAAAGAATACCCAAGGTAAGAAAAGTATACTACATAGGTACATGGCGCCTTTGATAGCAATGTGGTTTGTCTTAACTGGCCACCCCTTGGTGCAACTGCCACCTATAGGAACCATAAGGATTCAACGTGCCGAACGCGATTTCCCTCCTAGTTGCCAGCCACAACACCAGCTATACCCATCCCTAGGAATTGAAGCTAACCCCATGGCAATAACTCCTTGGAGGCACCGACAGCTACTTCTTCTGAAACCCTTTGGTCCTGGGCTACCACTGTTCCTCCTCAGCAACCTGGTGCAGGTAATCCTCTAGGATCTCAAGAGCATTCTGGAGATTCGATGCAGGCTCTGAGCTAATGTTAGTGAGTGGATAACCTCTCCACAACACTAGGTAAAGGTGACGGGACCGTGTCCCTAATTCCTCAGAATCAATTCTACTTTGTTCTCATCTTCACCTTGAACGATTTTGGGTGGAGGTGGCATCTCCTCCCTATTGAACTCTTTAGATTGGAAATATCATTTCAAACAAGAAATATGGAAGGTGGGGTGAATCTTCCAGCTTGGGGAATTTCCCCAGGGGAAAGATCCAACCTATAAGCCACTGAAGGGTATGAACCAGTGTCTTCTCAGTTTTATAGGCAAATGCTGGTCGACCTTTAGGTTCTTGGTTAAAAGGACCACTTCCTCACCAATTTTGAACGTCTCTAAGAGAAGACTTCTCTTCGCAACTTATTAGCTAAAGAAGATATTCGGCATTGCGCAAGAGACAAGTTGGCTTGAGCTTCCTCTAGGGACACCTTCATCCAATCTATCATATGTTGTATGGCCTCCACTGAACATGACCTATCCCCTGCTAGTAGGCGACTTCCAGTCGCCAACTTGGCATAAGAGGATGGACACCGGAGTTTAAATAAAGAAGAGAATACCCTATAGCCACATTGACATTATTGTTGGTGGCAAATTCTACCAAAGGTAGCTGCCTATTCCACTCGGCAGGGTGGCACTCCATATATGGCTTGAGGGAATGTTCTAGTGCCTGAATGGCTTGCTCTAATTGCAGAGGTGGCCACCCGGATCTGTTAATAGCGGACGGGGGCTGCCGTCCGCTAATATCCGTTAATTTAGCGGACCACGCCCTCTCTGTTGCTGACGTGGCACGGATGGCAGCGAACGGCTGGCCCCAATCAGCGGACTCTGTGGATTCCGCTTGGGTGTTAACGGATATTCTCTTACAGACCGGAAGCCACGTACCCCATCCGCTAATCTAGCGCATGATAGTGGACGTGTGTACCGAATCAGCGGATGACAGCAGAGCCCAGGTAGTAAGTACTGATTTCCAAATCCGGGGATCGGGTTGATTGCCAGCGTGGCTCAGCCAAGGTCCACATACAGCGGACGTTGGCTGTGACTGCACACATATTTTGTTGCCCTCCTGTTGCCATCCGCCGTCTCCAACCCCTGCCGCCCCACGCTTGGGTCATGGACCCACCAGGTGAGGCATACCGCGGCACAGGCAATGCAAGCCGCAACACAGGAAAGGCAAGGGGACGCCATTAGTACCGCCGCCATGGCGGGAAATGCCGGGCCGCGCGGGGGAAGGGGGGTCTCAGATGATCTGTTGGCTAAAAACCTGTGTGTGGCTGGATTCAATCCGCCGGTGATGCACAGGCATAGCGCGCTATCCTGTTTTGTGGCTAGGGCAATGCCCTCAGTACCGCTTGCTGTGGCGGGAAATTCCGGGCCGTGGGGGGTGCTAGGGGGGGGGTCTCGGATGATCTGTTGGCCGAAAACCTATGTGTGGCCGGATTCAATCTGCCGGTGATGCGCAGGCATAGCGCACAATCATGTTTTGTGGCGAGGGCAATGCCCTCAGTACCGCCTGCTGTGGCGGGAAATTCCGGGCCGTGGGGGGTGTTGGGGGGGGGGTCTCGGATGATCTGTTGGCCGAAAACCTATGTGTGGCCGGATGCCATCCGCCAGTGATGCACAGGCATAGCACTATCCTGCTTTGTGGCGAGGGCAATGCCCTCAATGCCGCCTGCTGTGGCGGGAAATTCCGGGCCGTGGGGGGTGTTAAAAAGGGGGGGTCTTGGATTATGTGTGGATTTTGGAAACTTGGTGGCACATGGCCGGGTGGGAAGATCATGGCCGGTGTTGTGAATTTTGGTGGATCCAGTCTTACTGGTGAATTCACTTCATGATGTTGTACTGCAATATTGGGGTGAGACTTGGGTTTACTAGATACACTAGGGGAGTAGTGTGTCTATAATTTGATTAGCTACCATTTGTGGTAAACGAACACCTGACTATAATTGTGGTTCACGCTTCCAATTGTAAGGTTCTTTCCGAGTTCCCCGCTCGCTCTCCGCGTGCCCCTCGTGGGCAGGTCCTGGGGCGCACCCAATAGGGTGCGCAACAGTTGGTTTTGGAGCGGGCTAACGTTGGGGCTTCC